TGTGTGTGTGTGTGTGTGTGTGTGTGTGTGTGTGTGTGTGTGTGTGTCAACCCTGAACATGCTAAGCATGCACTCTACCACTGAGCTAAGCCCCAGCTCTGCACTCTGCTTAGGATGGTGGATGGAGTCGCCTAAAGGCTACATAAACTTATTTCCCTGATGTTGTTTTGCTTGGTTTGTTTGTTTTTTAACTTCCATGTGATTTCTCAGGGGGCCCTGCCAGGGAAAACTCAACATAGCAAGTACAGCAGTGACAGAGCAAGTGGCTAGAATGTTCCTAATACTGAGCCGGGAACTGCCTGAGATATGAAGACAAGCCTCACACAAGAGATCACCTTCCCTCATCACAGAGCCCAACATGGCAGACATGCTCCTTCCTCACCTTCCTTTAAATTTTCCAAGATCTCTCTACATACAACCATACAACCATATATATGCTTACTTAAAATGACAGTATAGAGAGCAGGCTGTCCTAACAGAGACACATTTCAGCACAAGCCAGCAGAAGCAGAGTGACTGGGCAGCCACTGCGTGGCTCTTATCACATCAGTCACGCTTGTCTACCACCAGTTCTCAGCTCTCTTTTTCCCCTCCTCTCCCGTTCCCTCTCTCCATTCCCTCCCTTCCCCTTCTTCCTCCTTCAGGGGCCAGCCTTGTTCAGTCTTACTTGTTCAGTCTTTGACACAATCTCTCTCTATCTCCTTCTCTACTGAAGGTTTGTTTTTAAAAATGATATGTGTATGTTATGGGTGGGTATTTGCCTGTGAGGGCAGGTGCCTACAGAGGCCAGAAGAGGGTGTCAGATCTCCTGGAGAAATATTTTTGACACATTGGTATAGATTATTGTATAGTGATACAAAATTAAGGTTATTTTTGCTTACATTGGTATAGATTTGCATATTGATACAAAAAAAGGTTATTTTTATTTCTATTAGTATAACTTTTTGTATATTGACACAGAATTAAGTTTATTTTTGACATATTGGCATAGATTATTGTATATTGATACAAATTTAAAGTTATTTTTGATACACATACGTGTATATATGTTTCAATTTTTATGTAAGGTATTGGACCTATGCAACTCATTTATAAACACAAGTTTTACTTCCAGTCTTTTTAAGAGTTGCTATTACAAACTGCTTGGGCTAGTTTTAAAATGCAAGTTAATAGTCTATCAAACTCATGGTCATGCCAGATACTAGTCCAGTTCATCACAGAAATATACATCCTAGGTTGAACAGATAGTGAACAAGCAATGCTTGTTTATTTAGATATACTATAGATAAATAGATAATAATTATGCATCATGTAAATGTATACAGATAGATAGGTGGTCTTCAAAAAACCTCAGAGACCTACAGAAAGTAGCATTTAAATATGTTTTAAGCCACTGAGCAAAGAAAACGCTCTCATTTCAACTGCAGACAGAATGCTGTCTAAAATGGGTAAAACTTGGATGCAGGCAAAATCGACTGCCAAGCACTGCCAAGACAGAAAAAGCAAGTCCTTCATAATTACTGCTTCATAAATATGTCTGTCAGATATTCTGGGCCAGAAGGCTGAAGATGATGCCCCAACATTATAGAGAAATTTTGGGGACTGTCCAGGCAGCCAGCTGTCTGTCATTTCTATATTTTGTAAGATGCTTGCATGCACTTCCTACTTAGTAGGTAATATTTATTCCTTCTCAAGCCTCTGATGTGGTTGAAGTATTTAGAGTCTTAGAATTAAGTTTAAGTTATTTAGGGTTTAAGAAGATATTTTTAAGGTCTAAGAAAATGCCTTTATATTGGTAATGCAAGTCATGATAGAAAATGATTCAGGTGCAAAACTCTGAACTCATCAAGATAGGATAGATAATAGAATACTTTCTCCAAACTTGACAAATACATATGGACTAGAAACTGTGAATGTAAATTTTACCTAATAGTTTTCATTATTGTTTCACAACTGTTATTATTGTATGTTACTTTATTATTGAAAGAAAAAGTCTTTTATTGGACTTAATGGGGGAAATATAGAAGGAATCTCTGTGTCTGTATGGAAGCATCACCTGTCAATAAAAACCTATAACTTATTGGATAGATAGAATAGAAGGTGGGGCATCTGGTAGGCAAAAAGGATTCTGGGATAAAGCCAGGCATGGGAAATCTAGCCAACAAGGTGTGAGGAGGACAGGTACAGAGTACCTAAGCACAGGTAACCAGCCACATGGCAAAATATAGATTAGTAAAATGGGTTATTTTAAGTTACGAGCTAACAAGAGAAAAGCCTAGCTATATGGCCTAGGTATTTGTAAATGTATACTATGAGTCTCATGAATCATTACTTCATGAGCTTGGGGTCTGGAGGAAAACCCACAATAGATGTGAGTTGCCTGGCATGGGTGCTGGGAACCAAACTCTGATTCTACTTGTGGACAAGTATATGTACTCTTAAGTGCTGAGTCATCTGTTTAGCCCCTGACATTATCTTAGAAAGTCTGTGAAGAATTTTGGAACAAAGTTACCAAAGTGACTTCAAATTCCTGGAAATAATTTTAGATCCCTGCTAGAACCAAAGTGTTATGGGACGCTGTCCTCTGGCCATGGCATGGCCATGGCCTCCATGAATTCTTAGCAGCAGTGATTACACGTAGAAGACCAACACAAGACTGGGCCCATAATCATGAAGGGGACGAAGGGGCTCATGAGGCAACACCTTTCTCTTTGTTTAAAGCTTATCAGGAACCCAGACAATGTCATTATTAAGGGAGGGGTCGAAAGAGGATAAATGTGACGGCCAATCATTGTTAACCAGACTGACTTAGAATTACTTAGGAGACACAACTGGGTGTGTCTCTGAGGGTGTTTCTGGGGAGGTTAAAGAAGGAAGAGCCATTCCCAATGTGGGTTGCACCATCTCATGGGCTTGGGCCTCAGACTGAACAAATAGGGAAGGGGATAAAACAAGGTAAGCACCAGCATTCATATTCTGCTTCCTGACTGCAATACGACCAGTAGCCTCACTCCTCATGCCTCCATGCTTCTCTGGCCGTGATGGACTATACCCTCAAACTGTGAACCAAAATAAGCTTTTCTTTTGTTAAGTGATTTTCGTTTTTGTTTGTTTGTTTGTTTGTCATAGCAATGAAGAAGAAGATAGATCTTCTTTTACTTCTCCCATCCCCATTTGAGACTTTTCTACTAAACATTTATTACTATGCTAAATAATATTATGTCAACCTTATACAAGCTAGAGTAATTTGGGAAGAGGGAACCTCAACTGAGAAAAGCCCCCCAGCAGACTGGCCGGTGGACAAGCCTGTGTACATTTTCTTTTAAATGGATGAGTGCTGTGGGAGGGTCCAGCTCTCTGTGGGTGGTGCGACCCCTGGGCTGGTGGTCCTTGGTTCTCTAGGAAAGTAGGCTGAGCATGCTGTGAGGAGCAAGCCCAGGCTGAGCACTCCTCTATGGTCTCTGCATCAGTCTCTGCCTTCAGGATCCTGCCTTGAGTTCTTGTCCTGACGGGCTTGGATGATGGTATTAGGGTGTAAGCTAAAACAAACTCTCTCCTCCCTAGTTCCTTTTTGTTATTATGTTTTATGGCAGCAATAGAAACCCTAACGAAGACTACTGTTTTCCTATTTTATTTATTCTTTTTGTTGTTGTTTTACTTTGAAATAGGATCGGACACAGCTCAGGTGGGCTTTGAACTCACTGTGTATAGAATGCCTGATCGTTCTATCTCCCACGTTCTGGGTTTACAGATGCACACGACCTTACCTCACTATTTTTGTTTTGGGGGGACATGGTCTTCCTGTGTTAGCTCTGCCAGTCCTGGCATTCAGTACATAGCCCAGGCTGGCCTCAAATTCAAAGCAGCTCTCCTTCCTCAGCCTGCTGAAATTAAAGGCATGTGCAACCGTATTTGATGAGTATTTTTCAGTTTGTAAAGAAAGTTATAACTATGTCTAACCCAAGCTCTGAGCTGCAGGAAAGGAGAACAGTAGGAAGTATGAGCACAAGTTCTACCACCACAGCCAGTGTGGCCCGGGGTTGAGTTACAAACTGTGTTTCTTTTTCCTTCCTTTTCTGTGAAGGCAGTAAAAATTACTCACAGCCTACAGACTTGGCCAACAGTAGTGACACAACCAAAGCCAAGCTTCCATCCTCGTGTGTGTGTGTGTGTGTGTGTGTGTGTGTGTGTGTGTGTGTGTGTGTTTTACTGTGACTTTGGCAATACTGAGATGGTTCTCGCCCTCCCTGTGACAAGTTACCCAGGCTTTCAGTTGGCAAAGCCTGGCCAGGATCTGTAAGTGTTACAGTTCTGAAGGGAAAGGTCTCCTAGCAGTCAGGAGTCAAGGAACACCAAAGAGTCACACTGCACGACAAACCTCACACAAGAGATTAATTGGGAAAGACACAGGAGGGTGGCTGCCTCTGCTTCAGCAAGAAGTAGCAAAGAACTGAGCAGGAAGCAGGCTCTATATAGGGTTTCTTGGGGGTGGGGTGGGGGTAGGGGGACAGGGTTTTCTAGGATGGATTGGGATTATTGGGGTTTTGTAGCCTCATCTTGGGCTCTCTCTCTCTCTCTCTCTTTCTTTCCCCTCCTCCTCCTCCTCCTCCTCCTCCTCTTCTTCCTCCTCCTCCTCCCTGTAGGACCAAGCTTAGCCACCAGCATCTTTAGAGGCTGGGAATGGCCATCATGGCCATTAGATTAGTTAGTTAGTTAGAATGGTCTGGGGGCAGAGCCTGGACTCTTGCTCGCCTCAGGGGGCTTATACATTTTATCAGTGTCTGGCCAGCACAGCTCATGAACGATACTCAAGATGCTGTGCAGGGAACCTATGAGAAGGCACATGGGGTATAAGCCTGAGGGTCTGAGCTCCATCCCCAAAACCTACGTAAGGATGGCTTGCTGTTTATGACTTGGGCACTTGCCACCTGCCAATAAATCATAAAGAGAAGTCTCTCTGCAGCGCAATACAACATTTAATTCTTCAAACATTCCAGTCACAACCTGTATGCTCTCTTATCAACACGTGGCTGGGGGCCGAAATGAGGCCTACCTTCCCTTACTCACGCGGGTTGCCGAGAGCCCGATACCAGGCCAGCTGCTTTAGACCTGGACCTCGGAGGGTGGTGAACACTCAGGGTGTGTGCTGGAGCCTTTCCCTGGAGGCAAGAATATAACAGAACCCTCCCTGACAGGCCAGGCACTGTCATGGCTCTGCCCTTCTCAAATAGTAGAGACGGGGGCCATCGTCATGTGCCAAGCCCATGTTACATGAAACCCCCAGATAGTCTTAAGCCATGTGCTGACATCTAAATGATCCAAGCCCTTAAAACAGGACAATCCAAGAGTAAGACTAACATTTAAAATGAATCAAAGCTAAGGCAGAGCCAAGGAGCAAGAAGCTGGTGCTGTTCCTGGAAGAAGCAGGAGCTCCTAGGGAAGGCTTGTTGCAGTGAATAAATCCTTAAGACAGCTCCTCATTTTCCCTTCCATTCGTCGCCCCTAATGGCACAAGCACACGCAGAGCAGAAACACTTTCTACACCGCTATTTCATCCTCTTCTGTAAGTTGCCTCTGAAGGGCTTCCTCGTCCCCTATAAATAAGCTCGACCCTCAGGCATGTCAGGAGTGAGACAGCTCCTCAGTGGACAGAGGCAAATGTTGGACCCTACACAATAGGACTTTGACCTATTAGGGGACAGCCACAGATTTCCGTCAAGTCTTCCCCTCCAGCCCTCAAAGCCGGATAGTATGAGACATGTCAGGTAATGCCATCGCTATGTCTCTTCTGTATGGGTAGGAGGGTGATGGGCAACTTTACAGAGCCATCATCCTGCATCCTTCCTGCTTCCCCGAGTCTACCACAGCACCTTCCCCTCATTCCGGGGAAGAGTTGAGGACTTTCTTTTCAAACCCAGGAGGAACCTCCCTCTTGCAGGAGCAGATCTTTTCCTGGATCAAAGAGCCCAGCTTGCTCAGGTAAATTCTGAGATGGTCCAGGGAATTTTAGCCATGTCCTGTATCTCGATTATCTAAACCCTTTCCTTCATCTGCAGGATCAGTGCGACATCGGGTGATGGAGAAGGGTAACATTTCTCCTTCAGTCTTTCTTTTTGTTTGTTTTGGTTTTTGAGCCAGGTAGCCTTGGCTGTCCTGGAACTCACCTTGTAGAACAGGCTGTTCTCAGATTCACAGAAATCCACCTGCCTCTGCCTCCCAAGCACTAGGATTAAAGGCATGGATACCCCAGACCGGTTCCTCCAGCCTTTCTTATCTACCCTCCGGCCTTCTCTTCTGAGCCCCCTTCTCCGCTGTGCAGCGGCCCAGAAGCTACCAAAGTTCACAGGTTTTGAAGCTAAAACTTTCTGAGGCTCCGATTCTAATGCGTAATTCCACATACACTCATTACGAGGCATTCTGGATGGGGGTGGAAGTGGGGGGGGAGGACCAGGAAGATGGACCAAATAAAGAATGCCAGGTGTGCCACCTGGGTGGTTTCCTCTGAGAAGGACCTAGAAATAAGATACTCTGTCCCCCATTCATGGCCACAAGTGAGGACGACACAAGGTGGTTTGGAAGCTTTCTCTAAAACAGACCCAGACAGAACCCTGCATGGCTGGAATCTGAAGAGGCCCCCTTGAGGGCGATGGAGGAGGCTCACTCCTGTGTCTCAGTACTCCGAAGGCTACTATTTGTGGCAGTTCCAGAATAACCCAGGCTAGAGTAAAGACCCTGTCTCAAAAACAAAACAAAACAAAAAACCCAAAGCCAAAACCAAAACAAAATGGAAAATGAAACAAAACAAAAAATCTTTAGGCTTTCAGAGTACAGAGGTCAACCTAGTGGCCGACTCTGTGGCCATCCTGACAGTCACAGACTTTACAGCCCACAAACTAAACTAAGCTACAACTCCAAAGTTCTCTGACAATAAAATGTTAAAAAAAAAAAAAAAAAAAGTCAACACGAAGCTTTGCACTGCTAAATTTATATCCTAAATCTGAGAATCGTTGGCAGAAAAAAAAAGCAAATGTAAGTACAGCCCTTTGGGGCCCCCTTCAGCTGAATAATCACGCTGGAGATGAATTGGAAGAAGTTGGCAAGTTATGGTAATTTAAAAGTAATTGGAACGTCATGGGGCAGGGGTGGTTCATGCCTGTAACTGCAACACTGGAAGGCTGGTTGGAGTTCAAGGCTGGCCTGTTTACATAGCAAGTTTCAGACCAGCAAGGGCTACAAATTAAGACTTTGTTTTAAAGCAAAACAAAATAAAAAAAAAACAAGGTGGGGTTGGTGAAACAGGCTGGCCACTCAGGGGGCTAAGACAGGGAAGATAAGACTCAAGTTCAAGGCCTGCTTTGGCTACTTAGGAGTTTCAGGATTTCCTGAACTACACAGCAAGTACTAGTGTTTTGTTGTTACTGCCTTTTGCGCTGATTAAGAACAAGCACTCTCCCCCACCCCTCTCACACACGTGCGCGCGCACAAATCCAGGGGTGGTCAGGCCGGACACCTTTTCATTCTCATATAAAACATTTTCTGGAAACATGAATATCAATCCAAACTCAGTCCAAATCCATCAGACTCATGCTTAGTCGGCCAAATAAAACTTCCATATGCAGAAGCCTTGAAGAGATGGTTCCTACAAGATCAAGGCAGATTTATTTAAAAATCAACTCCCGTAGCCAGTCGTCCGAGACTCAGATAAACAGTGAAAGCTGTCCCTTTGAAAGGTAGAATTGAAAAGGGGAAACTCTTCAGAAATACCAAAGCTTTACTCCCTATGACATTTAAAGGTATATTTAAAAGTGGCAGTTGTTACCCGGGCTGTTTGAAAATTGTCTTTAAAAAACTCTGGAATACTAGGGCAGACGCCACACAGACAGGCTCTGCCAGAAACGTTTGGCGCAGCCAGCGTGCTGGATCTGTGTGAGGCGGGCCCTATTTTGGGGCCGGTTATCTAATCTTGCTAACTGTGGCCTCCCCGAATGGGGCCTCAGGGAGCACCTGCCCAGCAGAATCTTGCTGGCAGGAACAGCAGCTCTCCTGCCCTTAGCCCTTACCGGTGGAGATGTCTCACCGCAGCATCAAACCGGAGCAACGTCACCTCCCTGCGCAGGAGGAGGGCCTCAGCCACCTGGCTGGGGTCCTGGGGGTTCTGGAGACTGTCAATCATTTTCTGCAGCTCTTGGAGCTCAGTCCCTAGAAAGCGGGGCGACACTTGAATCAGACAGTGTGAGATACTGGCTGCCCTAGCGAACCCAGCAGACCTGCCTTTCACCTCTAGAACTCACTTGTCACCCAAATGGACTTCCTCTGTTTGTGGATGTGCTAATTATACATTTTTGTGAGACCAGCAGTTCTAAAAAACCAAAGTCCGATTTAGCTTCCCTTCCTTCCTCCCTCTGGAAGAAAGAAATCCCCCGTGCCTTGAGCACAGTCAGGACATAGTGCTGAAAGTTTTAAATATGCAAGGCCATGGTCTCAAAATAGAAGAAAAAAAGAAACGACACTGGGTTGAGCAAGTTCTCAGAAGTCCCCACCAGGGACTTGAAGTTACTCTCTGCTAGACGCCACATTCATTTTTATTTTGATTCCATGTGAATCACCCTTCCTTTGTCACTAGTGTGTGGACTAGTGTCACAAAGCCAGTAAAAAGACACAGCACACATACATGCATACACACATATATGTGCATACATATCCGTGTATAAACTTCTAGAAGGTTCTAGTCATTTCAGGAATTTGGCCTAGTTCTTGGACCCTTTACTACAAGAGAAGGATCCACATAATAGGGGCCCTCAGCCTCCAGATGAACTTGGAAATGGGAGCTTTTTGGAGCATTCTGGCTGGGTGGAGGAGCTCGGCCTGCACCTGGACTCCCGCCCTTGGCTCAAGGTGGGAAGAAGTCAGATGAAATAAGAGAGCTCAGCAAAAGCCAGCAAACACAGAGGGAGCACGGCAGGCCTGTGTGCTCAAAAAAAAAAAAAAAAAGTTTGTCAGCTTCCTCTGAGGGTGGTGACAGCTCTCTCCCCTGACATAAGAGAGGCTGTGACGCATCACTGTTCCTCCATGCTCAAGACAGGCATGAGGTTAATCTCTCTTGGTGGCTACGCCAGACTCAAGCAGACTCTTTCTTTCTAACTGGTTAGTGTTGGGCCTCCTTAGCCATTTGCATCCTGGGAAAGCAGAGGACTATGAGATTGAACAGGAAGCTGTCTGTGAGAGTTTGACTAGGATGGTTCCAGGGTTGAGAATGGCTGCTGGTCCTTGCAACATTTTCATGTGACTTTAGGAATAACGAGCAGTCCAGATCCTGCTTCCGTTTGTTGTTTGACACGTGACAGACGAGAGGAATATGGAATCAGCTGTCTACCAACAGATGAGCAGATAATAAAAATGTGACACAAGTTGATTCAGCTGTGGAGAAACACGAAATTTGCCAAAAAAAAAAAAAAAGATCCAGAAATTACCACATCTACTACATCGGCTGAGGTAGCCTAGACTCAGGCAAACACCACATGATCGCTCCCATTGCAAAGCCTGGATCTTTATGTGTAAAGTGTCACAAGTTAAAGCACAAGTAAAGCCAGGTGTGGTGGTAAACGTGGGCTACCCCACAGCCTTGATACCAGGACTTGGGAGGCAGAGGCAGGAGGGTCTGTGTGAGAGTACTTCTGTGTTTACCCGTGGCTTATTACACTGCAGCTATCCTGGTGGGAACTACCCCTTCTTTGCCTCCAACTGACTTCACAATCTTCATTCTGTTTCCTCTTCGGTAGAGACAGGATGTTTGGGAAGAGGAAGTGGCGGGTGTAGGCAGGGAGTAGAGGATGGCAAGAGGACCCAGGTCACATCAGAAAAGGAAAGGACGTCTCTCTTTTTTCAGGAAGAGGGTTCTGTGTGGGAGGCCCCCTCCCAATGGAGGGGGAGAAGAGAGAGGGACAGTATATATTTATTGTGTTTGGGCCTTTTGACCTTTGGCAAAGAAAATTCAGTGTAAATGACCCCACTCTGCTCCCTAGGTTCACAATGACTCCAAATGGAATGGCTGCTTATCAGGGAAGGGAGAATTTGGCAGGGTCCACCGAAGCTCAGTTTGTCAGAGTGGCTTCCTTTGGTCATGGGGAAGGGCAGAAGGTCATATCCAAGTTTACAAAAATATTTTAAAAGTGTGGAAGTCCAAAAATCTCATTGTGTCTGCTGCCAGGAAAGACTCAGTTCCATCTTCCACCTTGGTTCTCCTGCCTCCTCTGGGATCCCGGCAGGAGTTAAGCAGCCTAGCAGCTTTCTTAGGAAGATGATTATTTTAGTGGAATTTTTTTTCCTTTTTCACTTAATTTGCTCTTCATCTATTTTCAACAAATCAGAGCATGCCAAGCTTTGCACATATTCCCCTGAGAATTTTGTTTTTTTACTTGCAAAGTGTGCCGTTTCTAACTGACCCCTCAGAAGACCTGAGCTCTGCACAGCTCCGTGAGACCTGGGGCTGTGGTCCATCAGCAGCAAGGGCACAGCTTCCTTCATTCTGAACTCTAGTCCTCAGTGGTCTCATCTCAGCGCCACAATGATGGGCTGGTGGTGTTGGTTGATGTCTTCTCTTTGTCTCGTAGAAGGACCCTCCCTGTTTTCTCCACCTTCTGGTGAGTGGCACTCCTGCCCCCAACTGCTGGGGCAAAACTTCCTGGGCAGCGGTCAACCAGAGATGCAGCTCTGGCTGCCACAGACTATAAAAACAGGATGAACAGTTCTCATGGCCCTCTCTCCTTTCTCCTGACTCTTTAAAACCCTAGCGCCCACGGTTTCCCAGCACGCAGCTTAGCACGCTGTGTGGCTTTCATCTTGTGACATGTCTGCAGGACTTGCTCGTGTCCAGGTGAGGCCATGAACCTGAGACAGTTCCAAGCTTCTTGCTGAGCTGGTGCCAACATCAGCCTGTTTCTGGTTTCTTCACCTCAGCCAGACATCGAGCCTCCTCCTATATCACCACTCCGCCTTTCCCCGCCTTGCCCCACATCCTGCTATCCAGATTTCTTCTGTGTATATTAGAATGATGCAAACTTACAGGCCACCAGCTCCAGGGTCCCTTTCAGACATCTTTCCTTTAAGTCACAGTTGGGAGGGAATGGACTCGGATCATCTCACATTTGTTTGTTTGTTTGTTTAATCACTAAGTCTAAATAGGCTTTCAGCTCCTCTCATTTTGTCAAATTCCTGGCTACTATGTTACAGTACTTGATTTAAGCTGATCACTATCAACACAGCTAGTGATTTAATTTGTCTGAGGCAAATTACTAAAACCAAAGTCTCTGCTTCCAATCCATCCTTATTTGCTTTATATAAGATTGTATTATTGAGGCTGGAGAGATAGCTGAGCAGCTAAGATTGCCTGCTGCTCTTCTGCAGGACCTGAATTCAGTTCCTAGCACCCATGGTGGATAGCTTACATGTTGGGTAGCTGGAATTCCAGCTCCAGAGGATCTTTTGACCTCCATGAGTATCACACACATGTGGCATACATCCCCGCCCCCAAAACACACACACACACACACACACACACACCGCATAGCATGTCCGTGTGTGTGCTAGCGTATGAGTTTGTAAATGTGTGTGCACATGAGTGGATCAACCTTGGGGGTACCTGGGGCCCCTCAGGTACCATCTACCTTCTTTGTCAAACAGGGTTTCTCACTGCTCTATGGTTCTCCAGTTAGGATGGATGGGATGGCCAGCGAGCCCCATACACCCACCTGTCTGTGCCTCCCCAGCTGTCAGACACGCTTCTGTTAAATGTGGTCTCAAGCCTTCATGCTGCAAGCACTTTCCTGACAGAACTATCTCTCTGACCTCTGTTGCATATCTTATCAATGCTAGACACATGAAGATACCATCTTACAGCCTAATGGTCCTTAGTATAGGAAGCTGAGCCTCCCTCATTCTTATCACCATCAGGTGGTTCTCAGCTATCAGGACTATCAGCTTCTTCACAGTGAGCACTTGGGTAGGAACCCTGTCATGTGAGTCATAAGGAAGAAGAAGGAAAAGGAAATGAATAGTCTTTACAGCATCCTTAAGTATCCTTACATAGACTTCAACCCAGAGAACACCTCCATGAGACATCACCCGTTTTATAGACTGGCAAATAGATGTGAGGAGTAAAGTGGCTTACATATAGAGGCAGAGACAGGGTCCAAGCTGGGCCTCTAATTTTTTGACTCAGTTTACTCTCTGGTAAGCCCATGAGTGTGAGGCCAATCGTCAAAACTTACACTTGGAGACACTTTAGAACAGGGCTTTCCCTGGGTCCTTCGCATTGCTGTCAGGAGGGGATACGCCTCTGGGTTTCCAGTATTAACTAAGCACTTCTGAGAATCACCTAGCCATTAGTTACTTACCAATGCCCTCGGCTCCTCCCCAGTCACTCCTCGAAGGGTTAGGACTCAGAGGAAAGTCGAAGCGTGCTGGGCAATTGCCAAGTTTGGCAAAACCGAAAAGGTAGGCCACAATGTCGTGGAGAGGAGCTACAACCTGGAGAGTCAGCTTCAGGGCTCTGAAAGCTTCCTGTGGGCAAAAGCAATGCAAGGAAATGGTTTCCGGAACTTCCGAAGAGGCCTGTGCAGCATCTGAGAGTGACTAGGGAAAACGTGTTTACACAAGCATGCAGTGGTCCCTTGATACCCATGGGGCTTGGCCTGGAAATACCAAGACACTCGACTTATGACATGGACAGGATGTCTAGTATGTCTGCTTGATTTAGGCAGAGCCTCTTGTCAACTTTTAACCGTCTTAAGTTACTTATATTGTCTGTATATGAATAGGACAAATGCAGATTTTCCCAACTACTTTTGATCAGTGGTTGACGGATGCAGAAACTATGGGACAGAGCACTGATTTCCCCATACGTAAACACTTCCATAGTGTACCCGGGGTAACAGCTGAAAAAAGAAAAGAAAACCACAAACCTATTCATGAACACAGCCCTGCTCTAGACAAAGGCACTGCTGTGGGGGCTAAAGCACCTCGTTTCTGTTTGTTTAAAGTCATCACAGCCATGAACACCTCCAATATGCTTATTTACCATCACAGGGGCACAGCAGAGATGCTCATTCGGGCAACATTGTTCTGAGCTTCTATAACCGAGACACAGGGTTTATAGTCTTAAAGAAAATTCCACATATTCCCCAAATGCCATATTCAGCATCACACTTCAGCAAAGGCTTCTATTTCCGTGCCAGTTTTCTGGTGGTTCTTAACGTTATTCTCAAACATGAAGTTTGGGAGCAAACCCTTAAAACCTGTGGCCTGTCAGATGTAGAGGCACCTACCTGTTATCTAATGCTTGGGAGGCATAGGCAGCAGGAGCCACACAGGTTCAAGGCCAACCTCTGCTAGATACTGAATTCCAGGCCAGTCAGTGCTCACTAGTGTGACCCCCAAAGAATGAACAAAACAAAACAAAACCCAGTAGGCAGCTGGACAGGGTGTCACACACTTGTAACCCCACCACTCCTGGGAAGCGGAAGCAGGGGAATCTCAAGTTCTAGGTCAGCCTGGGCTATATCAGGAGACTGTCTCAAAAACAAACAAAAGACAGCCCAGTTGTTACCATCTTTTGTTAGCTTCCGGGCTAACTAATGTGGGGTTTTGTTGAAGGGCAGAAACTGAGAATGAATAGGGAATATTGAAAGTCCCAAGTGCTCATCAAGGACCTGGAGCAAATAGAACTCATGAAATAATGAGTCTCAAGAACAAGAGAAATTGTAACAAGCAGGCAAAAGTATCAGGAGCTGTGAAAAGGTCTCTGATTAGAGGTCACGGGAAAAATCACTCTCTCAATGTGATTAACCCTGTGACCTAAAAAGTGGCCAATTTCTACTCTGGCACATACAGGGAAAAAAAACACCTACAAACCTCCTCTGGCAGAGTTTTGAACATAAACAGCACTTCGGAAGGATGGGGAATAAACCATAAGTTGAGGAAGCGTCTTCCATCAGCTGACAGCACACTCCGAGGCCTAGGCTGAAAACGCCTGCAGGGTGAGAAAAAAAACAAAAGGACCCATAGCACAGCCAAGATCCCACCAACCCAGAGGTGTGCCCTGTGTGAAGGGTCACCGCAGGCCCAGCACCCAAACCCCGGGAGCAGCCTGTCGCTCCCAGGTGGCCAGAATAACTTATAAATAACTCATCAGGAAAAAGAGCAGAAGGGCTGAGTTTGGCTGAGCTGTGTGGGAGGGAGGAAGGAGTGGGGGTGCAGGGAGGGGACCTGTGGTCAGGAAAAAAAGAAATTAGATGGCCGGCCTCATGCTGGGTGTTACATATTTTATGTCAGTTAATGCCTTGACAATCTATTTTTGTCCCTGTTTCACAGCTGAGGAAATTGAGGTTTGAGGAGTGATGTAGATCCTGCCTGGCAGCTCCTGAGACAAAGTTAGCATTTGAATACACAGTTGCCTAGCTCTAGAATCCTCATAGATATCAGCTTTGCTTTCTCTCCCTGACCACCATTTTTCCAGTAGATATAATGATTAAGTTAGTAATGATATAAGTGCAGCAGTCGGTGTGGAAAAGGAAGCAGATGTATAATTCCCTTCAAAAGATGCAGATCATTAGGAAAAAAATGATTGAGGCCCCAGTGGGGACTAGGAGTAGGAGGGAGAACAGACATGATAGGAACAGGGAAAGAAAGGTACGCTTTTGAAAGAGGAGCCTCATTAAGAGTGAGAATAAAGGCTGGTGCAGTGGCGCACGCCTGTGATCCCAGCACTCTGGGAGGCAGCGGCAGGCGGATCTCTGTGAGTTCAAGGCTAGCCTGCTCTACAAAGTGAGTCCAGGACAGCCAAGGCTACACAGAGAAACCCTACCTTGAAAGAAAAATGAGACTAAATAGGGGGTGGGGGAAAGGAGGAGGGGAGGGAGGGTGGCCTGATCTCTTCGGACTGTGGGATCTGGCCTTCTAGAGGGACCACCGTTATTTTGAGAGGCAGGCTATTCTTGTCAGGTTCCCAGACCCCAGCCTTCCCCGCCCCCCCTTTTTCCCCTTCCTTCAAATACCAATACCTCATCGGTTTTTGGCAGTTTCTCTGTTGCAGCCTTATAGTCAATTGTATATCTGTATATGTCTGGTTTAAGGATGCACAGAAACCCAGGTATCTGGCCTAGCAGAATGTCACCCATACCCTTGAAGCCTGAAGTGGCCCTACCTAGTGGCTTCCAGAGTAACCTTCTTGAATTTTTCATTATTCTTAAAATCATAATTAAAATTTTATTTTAATTTACCATAATAATTCTATATATAAATTTAATTTAATTAATAAAAATTTAAAATTTTAAAATTAATTTAAAGATTTATTTTATGCAGGTGAGCGTTTTGCCTGAATGTGTGTATGTGTACCGAATGCATGCCTGATGCCCACAAGGCCAGAAGAGGGCATCCAGTCCCCCAGAACTGGAGTTATGGATGGCTGTGAGCCACCGCGTCGGTGTTAGGATCTGAACCCATGTCCTCTGCAAGAGCAACAAGTGCTCTTAATTAGTAAGCCATCTCTGCTGCTCGAATCAATACCTTTTGAGATGGCTCAGCAGGCAGAAGCATTTACCAGTCACGTCTGACGACCTGGTTCCCTCTCTAAAACCCATAGAAAAAAAAATACCAGATCCACGGCACACACCTGTAATCCCAGCACTCCCCAAGTGAGACAAAAGGCAGAGCGGGGGAGCTGTCTAGAAGACGGCGGGCCAGCTAGCCTGGAGTACACAGAGTGGCAGAAGCCGGAGGTCTGCCTCAATCTGGGTGAAGGAAAGAAGCAATCCACTAATTCTCCTCTGAGTTCCACACTGAGCCATGCATTCAGGAGTAATAATAATAAGTTACGGGAAGAAAAATTATAGAGAAAGGTGCCACCACCATTTATTCACCTCGGTGACATCCTAGGTCCCCTTCCTTGGTTCCACAATAACTCTGGCACCCACCTCACTGATTTCACCTCCTGAATAACCTGAAGAGCCTCCTAAGTGCTGTCACCCACAACCATGTTGAGCCTTTTCTGTGGCCTGAAAGACAAATAAGAGTTGCCTGGGCCTTGCTCACCCCTCTGTATTGCTGCTGTTTTTCTTACTCCCTGGATACAGGCAGAAGCCAGCCAGTCTGTGTCGTATATGTTCGTGACTTTGAAAATTCAGATCTCCCGGCTTCAACCGAATTTCCTCGCTCTGCCCACCTAACGTATTAGTCATCAGTCAAGACCCAAACTAAGCATGGTCTTCCCTGAGGTCTTCCCTGCTCCCGCCATTCTCCCCTCAGACTTTGGAAACTATGTTTGTTGCTTTCCTGCTGCTGCGATAGAACACCAAAGCCGAGGCAACTTAAGGGAGAACATTCACTTGGGCTTCGGGTTAAGAGTCGGTCATGGTATGGGGGGGGGGGGGCATATAGCAGCAGGCGTGGCTCAGAGCAGGAAGCCGAGAGCGCTCATCCTCAATCTAATTCATGAGGCGGAGAGAGCACACTCAAGCAGGGTAGGGTGAGGCATACAGCCTCAAAGCCATGACTCTTCCCTCCAGCAAGGCTGCCCCACCTCAACCTCTAAAACATCGCCTTTCAGTTCCGGAGACCACAGGAGCCATTTCTCACCCGGACGACCGCGGGAACATGGAGCGTTTCTTTCTTTCAAGATCTGCTCAATTTTATTTTACATGTGTGGGTGCTTTGCCTGCGTGTATGTGTGTACACCATGGGCATGCCTGGCTTTCGGAGGCCAGAAGAGGATGTCAGATCCTCTGGAACTGGAGTTACAGATGGTTGTGAGCCGCCGGTGTGGGTGCGGGGGTCCTCGGAAGAGCATTTCCTGATTGGAATGTTCATGAAAGTTTTATCTTTTGTTCCATATCACAGCAGGCCGCTGATGATCTAGTTCTCCTTGCCGGATGAGGGCCATGTCGGTTTCATTGTTGTATAGCGGTTGGTGCTAGGACAGCGGAACATTTATATTCAGGTTGTACTCTGAGGCAATCAGCAGTGGCTAGGGTCTAGCTTGTGCTTCTCTTACCAGGCCCCACACGCCACTATGGGGCCATACCCACCCAGAAGAAGGGATGCCCTCCTGTCATTTTCACAAAGTAGCTGTTTGGAATGACAGTGACTCTCCTTGGCACACAGGGAGTCATCAAATAGCATCGTCCTCTCTCTGTTTACCATCTTTGCTCCACCATCAGCCCGCCCCTTCAAGGGCAACTGAGTGACATCCCAGTCTTCAGACTCCAGCCTCTCCTGGACTCCTGAAGGGAACAGAAGCCCCAAGGGACTCTGTGGGAAGAGGCCTCCCCTTTAGCTCCTCTCTGACAAAGAGCTGGCTTTGGGAAGGCTCTGCAAAACCTTAGAGCCTTTAAATGATTAAGTTGCATCTTGGAATCTTAGACTAATACAACTCATGGGGCTCTTCTGGCCTCGGCAGACATCAACAATCAATTACCACACTCCCAGACAAGCCAGCTCAGAAGCCTCAGCAGGGGCCCTAATAAATAGTTGGGGCTGACATTTAAAATAAAGGTTATCTTATCCTCAGTGCAGCCCAGCCTCTTATCTTATGGCTGGAACGGGGATCCCCTTCCTTCTGTCCCTCACTCCTCAGCACTACCCTTTTTTTCTCTAGATATCTTTGCCTGTGCTGGTCCCCAGCTTGTTTCACAAGCAGTCATGGGAATGGCCTCTTTTTCTCCAGACATCACTTCCTCAGCAACCCTGTTTCTGTGGCCTTACTCTAGATATCTAAGCACTGAGAACTATGGCATGTTTGACCCCAGAAAACTGCTTCAGTGTCCTCAGTCCTAAAAAGAGACTGAAGTCCAGAGGTTGCAGATAAGTGATTCTCCCAAGACCTTGAGGCAACATGTGACAGAGCCAGGTGAAATGCAGATAGTCAGATTCTCAGACTGTGGCTCTCTGCTATGTCTTTGTTTGGCTGGATGTCACGTCTTGGATTGAGCTTAAGTAAGGCTTCCTGAAAAGAGTTCATGAATGGAGATGAGTACTCCTCAGCTGGGAGTGAGTAGAGGGTGGTGGGACTTTTTAAGGGTAAAGCCTATGGACTTGTCCATGGGTCAGCAGGAGGTTTGGAATGGATTGCTGGATTCCGGTGTCTCTCTGTCTTCCTGACTTTTAAAATTATTTATTTTATTTTATTTTATTTTATTTTATTTTATTTATTTTATTATTTTATTTTATTTTATCTTATCTTATCTTATCTTATCTTATCTTATCTTATCTTATTTTATTTTATTTTATTTTATTTTATTTTATTTTATTTTATTTTATTTTATCAGAAGTGAGGTTATGTTGAGAAAGAGAGAGTCTTGTAGCCCAGGCTGCTGTTAAATATTCTGTGTAGCTAAGGATGACCTTGAACTCCTGATCCTCCTGCCTCCACCTCCTGAGTATGTTACCATGCCCAGCTGTGCTTTCCTGATATCCGACACGGTCCTCCCTTAGACACTCACTTTCACTATGACGGGACTGTCTAAGAACAGATCCTTTCCAGAATCTGCTGGTGCTGGTGATCTGCCCACGGACTTCCCAAAATGGGCTAAACCTCCTCATTACAATATAAAGTTAACCTGGTCCTGATGCCACTGCCCTGTGTCTCAAAGTTCAGAGAACCATGGGCCTTGGGGTTAGAAAGACTCTTACGAAGCACTTTTCCCAATCTTCCACATACGACACAAGTTCCTCTACATTCCTGCAAATGAGAGTTTTATTTTTATTTTTTTTAAAGACATATTAAGGGTTGGAGTGTGAGTCAGTGGCTAAGAGAGCTTATTGCTCTTGAAGTGAGCCCAGCTTTGGGTCTCAGCACCCACGTGGGGCTCACAAACACCTGGAATCGGATACCCTCTCTGACCTCTGTGGACACCTGCACTCATCAGGTGCACTCACACACACAATAAATACTTTTAAAAATTAAGAAATTAATATTAGAGGACACAGGAGGGCTGTGGAGAAGCAAAAGAGCCGCCCCACTCACTGCTCTGGCCCTCGCTTTGATGGCACGTTTCTGTCCCCAGACTCTGTCTTGAAGTCATTGCACATAGCTGAGCAGTCTTCTCGGGAGTCCAGGCTCTCCACTTAGATGCTGCCTCTCTGTGCAACTTAGGAAATACCGTCACCTAGGAGACATCTGTGCTAGCTCTGATGTCAGTCTAACTAAGTCAAATGCCATGAAGAACAGAGCAAGACCCACAAGCCACAAGGATTCTCTCCTCTTCACTTCCTCACCTCCTCATTGGCTACTGCAGATGAAACACATCAGAAACAAAAACAAAAACAAAGAAACAAAAAAATAAAATAAAATAAAATAAAATAAAATAAAATAAAATAAAATAAAAGGGCCCCAGGATAGATTTCACCCTAAACAAAAATGTAGTGAATTCATGATTAGGCTTCCAGATAGAATTTTTACAGTCTGATGCCAAACATAGATTGGTCAACTTGTCTGGACTGCAGTAAACTGATGCAGCAAAGAGGTCTTAAAGGATTGGCCTGGGATGCTTCTCAGAGAAGAGAAATGCGTTGTAACCTCCCTGAGCTGCAGGTGTCCAGCAAAACCTTCCACAAGAGAGTCTCCAGGGCTGCCTTCGCCCCACTCCCCTCTTAAATGAGTCCTTACATTAGACAAGTCCTACTCAAGAAAAGTACTGGCTGACCTAAAACTATGAACACTGGTACCCACTCCCAGAGCACCTTGTAAACACCAAGGCAAGATGGAGCCCTGTCAGTTTGTTTGAATTTCTCTCTGGGGCCCTGAGGTTGAATCAAACATCCCCTCCTTTGTACCTTCGCAGAGCTTGAGAAACACCTCTAACGTGTTATCTCTGAAGCTAGCTGATTATTGAGCTTTCCTCCGAGCCAATGAATTGTTCACCTTTGAACCTAACACCTGGTACAAAATGCCTGGGACTAAGCAAGCCCTGAACAAATGATGGTTGGTGTCCATACATGCATGCATGAATGGATGGCTGTGTGGTCTGCAGCAGGCTGTCTTCCAATGCCTTTATGTGTCTCATCAGTGACCATATTTCCTCCGACCAGGCAGGTGATTTCGGAGGGCTGGGTTAAGAACACTTGGGAATCTGTACAGCATGATGAGGATGCATGGAAACAGCTCTTATCTCCTCAGTCTATCTCTGGATATCCTACCAGAGAAAAATGGGCTGCTGATTTAGTCACAGCCCTAGTTAATTATTATTTTCTTTTACTACTTCTTCTCCATTGAATGAAATATCGGAAACTAGCCAAAAATCAAGCTCCCTTCTTTGCTTACTTATTTTAGACATTAGCTTTGTATTAAGGGATGCGACCGTGAGAGTCTCTGGCCTTCCCAGGAGAAAACAGAACCTCATTGATTGAAAAACGCAGTGACACATCCCCTAAACAAGGGCCTCCTTCACATACAATGATGCTCTTATTCTTGGAGCGCTGATGTTTTCTTTTGACCTTCCAAGCCAGAAAGCCCAAGTCACGGGCAAGAAATCCAGAAGGTCAGCTTGCTGCTACTATAACAAATACCTAAAACAACCTGTTTATAAAGAGAGAGTGTTTATTGTGCTTCAGTGTTTTAAAGGTTTCAGTCCACAACTGCTTGGCCTCAATGTCTCAGATGAAGTTGTATGTCATGGCTCTACCTGCCGCCCAGCACGACAACACTGCTCACCTTCTAGCTGAGAAGTAAAGGAGGGCTAAGAGGAGGAGGAATGGATGGTGATGAGGGGGAAACCAGTACCCCAAACCCCCTTCAACGACGCACCTTCAATATCTAAAAGCCTCCCACTGGATCCAACCTCTGAGAGGCTCCACAACTGCCTAATGGAATGCATTCCTGCCTAGCAACTCTTTACCCCTAGATCTTGGGGGACACTGGAGAACCAGGAGCTTCTATACTTAACATACCTCTCTAGGAGAGGGCAGGCCCAGCTGGTAGAAAAACAAGCTCCAACAGCCTTCCATACCTGGGGTCAGCCTTGAGTTCCCCACTGGAGTCCTTCAAGCCCTTCTTTTCATTTGGTTGTCCCACCATGAAGAAGGTGTCCCTGATGGTAGGAAAGTCTTCTAGCAGGACTCTCAGGCTGTTGCAGTACGCCATGATTTGACCCCGGAGGGCGTAGTGGGAAGTGCGGTGGTTCAACCTGGAGGTCGGAAGCAGAGGTGAGAAATGGAAGAAGAACCCTCTACCTCTTAGAGAGGGTCCAGAAACTACTGCCCTGGGGGACTGGTCAAGGAGAGCAGAGCATCTCTGCTAAGAAGACATTGCCACCTGGGTAAGGTTGGCACTGTCTGAGACAGGAGCATGGAACGCTTCGAAGCGCCTCCTGTCCTGACTCCTGGGGCTCACCTCTGTCTGAGTTTCATGCAGTTCTAGCCATCCAACAGGGCTGGGGGTTGTTCCATACAAACCAGACTCATGCTCTGGGTTTCTGGGTTACACGGCTGCTGGCACATGTACCCGTCAGAGAAACCAGTGGGTACTGTTCAGTAGACTCTACTCACTTTTGGCAATATTCAACTATTAGTTCCTTCTTGACTTTTTCAATGTCATCCTGTTGATAAAAGAAAAAAAAATATATATATATAGTAAGCCACCATTTGGATGAATGTATGATTAAGTACGAGTAGCAAACAGCCACGAAGCTGGGGTGTACTTTTTGGAGGCCAATGTGTTGGGCGACTCTTGTTGGGTCTCTTCTATTCTCACCCATCTTGCTGAGTGTGCCAAGGATGCCAGGCCCTGGCCACTTTCTACCTGAGCTATTTTTCAAGCTTGTGTTTGTCGAGGGCAGCCCTTGGGGCTGAGGAAGTGTGTTTCTCTCTAGGAAAAAGGGCAGGTTTGCTATAAAAGAGGCCCCCCCAGCTTTGTGGGTTCCCACCGTGGCGGACACTGGGTGCTTGCTGCCTCTTCCACGCCATCTCTGTGGGACTTGGGAAGCAAGGAGAATGGACACAAACATGACCCTTGTGTTGTCTGCTCTGCTGAGAGGAGTCAGTTCTTTGTCTCTGGCCTCAGTCCCATCCTTAGGTTAAGGGACTTACTAACCTGCCAGTAGGCTAAAATCCTGGAGCCAGCAGACATGATCTAAGTTCTTTCTGGTCTGGTGGGTGTCGGGTAATTCTGGAGATCCGTAAGGGGCTTATACATTCCCTACAGTCACTATTTTTTGAGAATTGTTTGTTTTGGGAAGAATCGATGCATTTTGCCTCCATTATTACTCATCAGTAATTCTGCTGTTATAACTGCTGTTATAATATCAGTAATTCAGCAGTAATAACTGCTGTTATTCCCTCTGCATGCCTGTCTCAGGGAGCGGCAAAGCCTAGATAGAGATAATAAACCTTGCCATTTTCTTCCAGATAACTGCATATTAAAATGAAGCGGATAATGAAGTACTATTGACTACAATTGGGATTTATTTTAAATGACTAAAAGTTTGAGTTTTAATATTTTCTAAATGATTTGACTAATATTTGGAAAAAAAAAAACTTAAGTAGGAACACACCAGTGGCTTCTGAGAAGCAAAGATAGCAGGTGCCCAAGTCACCTACCCCTGCAGGTCACTCAAAAGCAGCAAGTGTCCTGACACAGGCTCTCAGACTAGTCCATTTAGAAAGTGACAAGACAAAAAAAAAAATATGACTTCAGAAATACGGGCATTTCTTAGACATGACAGTAGTTTCTGTAGAAACTACAAGTCGGTAGATCCTATCCTGACTGAGTTCCACTTTTCATTTTCAGTTCCGTGCAGGTTGCTTACAGGATGCTTACAAAATTCAGAATGTCTATTTGCTCCAACACAAAAAAAGAGTGAGAGTTTTAGAAAGCCCGTCTCCTTTCACACTCACGGGGCTCTGTGTCCTGTCGGCCATCGTCTGTTTCCTCTGCAGGAAGCTGTTCAGCATCATGTCCCGCAAGCCCGCCTTTTCTAGCTGAATAGATAGGAAGGCCTCTGGAGTGCTGACAGAGAGAAAGAGCTGAGCTGAGGGCGGAGGCAGGCGTAGTGGAGCTCTCAGTAACTGCAGCAGGTCAGGCTGCTCCGTCTCCACAGTGACTACCTTCTTCAGTGCATCTGATGACTCAGATGCCACTGTGCTCCTTTAAAGACCCTGTGTGTCTAAGGTATGCGTCAGCAGTCCCTCCTCAGCCATCAGAGCCTGGGCAGTGTGCCCTCTGCCTCAGCCTCAGAGATACCTGAACCGAAGCCCCCCCCCCCCACCAACTAGACACTGTTCTTAAATATTCCTTCCACTGGGGAAATGTGGTCTGAAGACGCCTGACCTCTGGTCTTATGTCCCATCAGCAGCGTCTTCGTTAGAAGTTATTTTGGTTGACATCATTTTTCACTCCATATTTGCCAAATTAAATTAGAGTGCCCTTGGCACCCAACAACAAATCCAGAGTGGTTATAATTATTAGAGAGCATGTCTGTGCCTTTCTCCATCTCAGTGGAAGAGATCAAAGCACAGTAGGGCATCCTTGGTGGTGGATATGCTCCGTGGGCACCATGATTCTCAGAGGACCCTCCCATTATTCTGATCAGCAGGAAAATCTCTTGTAAGAACACTGAAAGCGGTTTTGCGCTTCTCAATCTTAAGTGTTTACAGAAAATCTGGAGCCACGTATTTATCTCTCAGCTCTTGAAGAAGAGTATAAAAAAAGATCTACAGGGAAAGAAGCAGAGGGGAGTGAGAGAAAGAAAGAGAAATTGAAGAGAAGGGAGGAAAAAGGAAGAGAGGAGGAAAGAACCAAAATTAGGATGCGCCAACTCTCCCTCATAGACTGGACTATATCTGAAGGGGTATTCATATAACACCTCCATGTGAGACCTTAAAAGAATAAAGAACAAACTATTTTTCTTCTTACTCAAATATCCACCCACTGGATGTAGTACCTTTTAGAAGTCTTAAATCCTTCTGAAGAATGGGTAAGGGTGTCGGGGGCTTTTGGAGTCGGGGCTAAGAGCAAGCGCTCTGTGCCATTCGCAGCTCTGGACTCTCTTCTTCTGGTTGAACTCATTCCGCCATGATGCCTCAGATCTGAACGCACTTCCTAAACCATTTGAAACCAACATGAATTCAGTTTGTTGGATGTATAGGCTCAGAAGGGTTGCTGGAATACAGCAGACCCCACATATATGTGACTGGCAGGAAGAGAAGGAAAGGGGGAAGAGGAGGAGGTGGGGTGGGAAGAGAGACATGACTTTGCATACTGAAGGGCTAAGGCTAGTTCCAGAATACGAGAACAGTCATGTAAAGTGCTCTCAGAAAAAGCCTCCTACCTACCAAGTCGTGAAATTCTGTGTGTGGATCAGCTTCTAAAGAAGACACTAATGGACTGCCCAGACCTGCTAATGGATTGCAAAAATCTGGAAAATTCCCCCAAGTATACCCAAGCATATCTGCATTATATAAACCTTCTGTGGCAATGTAAGGCTAAAATAGAAAATCAGTATCTTCCACTATTCTAGCATGGTCCATTATGGAGATGGAGGGTAGAAGTCTTTTATGTTTTACCAACTATTAACTGAAAGAAAAAGGTTACGTGTTCAAAGGGAAGATCATTCTTCAATGACACGATCAAGGAGTTATCATATTGAAATTACGTAAGGAGGGTGAGGTAAAAAAGAAGAGACTCCCAGAGATGAAAAAAAAAAAATCTAAAGTTCCAACTTCATTCTCCCCACCCACCCAAGATCCCTAGGGCATCCTAGTGTGCAGGAAATGGAAGTCTCAAAAGAGGGGTCATTTTACCAGGCCATAAGACAGTAGGAGGAAAGAGAACAAAGGTTCAGAGTTCATGCCCGGGGCTGATGCTTACTGCAGGTCTCATCTATTTTCTCTTACCTTCTAGAACCTGTTTCTTCACCCAGAACAAAGGCTACTCATGAGAGTGGGAAAAAAATCCTTTTGGCCTGTGTGTTTCCATTATATGGCTTCCTGATTGCTTGAACTACAGATGCTGTTGAATCCAGCATTCACACCCAAATTACTCATCTGTAGCCATCTGTAGCCATTGTAGGCTCAACTATTGCCCCTTTTCTGCATTTTTGTTTTTTCAAGTGTGTCCACATCTCTTTTTAACTCTTAATCCTCTGATACTTGCAAATTGCTTGCTCAGTTCTAATTTAGTTTTGTTGTTGTTGTTGGTTTTGTTTTGTTTGTTTTTGTTTTTGTTTTTGAGACAGAATCTTATGTAGCCCACGCCTTCTTAACTCTGGTCCTGTAGCTTTTATTCCAACCCAGTGAGTAGAACTCCCAAGTGAGCAGGGAAACCGTGAATGTTGGACATCTCCATTTTAATCTGTACCCATCTGCTTTGCTCCTCTTCATTCAGATCTATCAAATTTGACTCTCCTTTTTAAAAGAGTAACTTTCTTTATTGAAGAAATAGTTAAAACTTTACAAAAATATTTTTAAAGCATACGGTTCGGTAAGTTCTGATGTGTATTTGGTATGTATTCAACTATGAAACATCACCGCCATTTTAACTTACAGCCTCACGCCTATCCTTCTCTCCCTATTCTCCTCAAAAACTCCTCTGTTTTTGGCAATTATAGGCTAAGATGGAATTACCTTGAATTTTACATAGAATTATGCAGAATTTGGTTCTTTTGTCTGGCTTCATCCACATCGTTGTTGGTGTCAACAATTTATTTCTTTGTACTACTGTGCAGTATATTATTATACGAATAGGCCAAAATGTGCTCGTGTATTCTCCTATTGGAGGGCTCTTAGATTTTTCCAGTTCTTGACTGTCATGGATACAACTTCTCTAGAAATTGACATACAAATTTTTGTAAGGCCATGTGCTTTCATTTCTCTTAACTAAATACCTAGATGTTGAACGCCCAGTTCCTATGGTCGGTACATGTTTAACCTTTTAGGAAACTGCTTAATTATTTCTCAGGTGGTCGCATCACTTTACTCTATAGTGCGCAGTATACAGAGGCTTCAGATCGTCCATACCCTCGCCAGCACTGGAGATGGTCAGTTTTTTACACTTTAGCTGTTCTAATGGGAGTGAATTATTTCTCAGTGGGGTTTTAAGTTTCTTTTCTCCAATGGTTACTGTTGTTGAACATCTTTTCACCACTTATTTTCCAGGCTGTCCTTTTGATGGCTCATTGATTCTTGAAATATCCTTTTTTTTTTTTTTGCATCAGTATATACTATTGTTCTGTCTCATCTCTTTCTTTACTTTCTTTATCCATTCTATTTCTTGATTATGTTATCAGACCCTTTCCTGTCCCACAGTTGTTAAAATTCTATAAATCTGTCTGTACATACATCTTATGAAGAAGTAATCATAAAATTTACTTTAGAGTTCAAAGAGGGCTGGACGTTTTCTGGAAGATGTAATACGATAGGGCAAGACAGTGCAGAGGTTCCTCCATCTTGTATTCTTGCTAAGGCCATTTTAGGCTTAATTAGATTTTGATTTTCTTGATAGAGAATTCTTTAGGAAATTACTCAACTTTATTCTAGAAATCCTAGGTCAAGGTGCCTCAGCTAGCTTATTTTAGCTTCTGTTAAAATGGTTGCTTGTGCAACACTTTCCCTGTAGCTGCTGAAGGGGATAATGGGATATTTTTCCCTTGGAAAAAAAAAAAAGAAAAGGTTTTTGCCTTTAAAAGACCCTTGGTCTAAATCATTGATTCTTAACCTTTCTAATGCTGTGACCCTTTAACACAGTTCCTCATGTTGTGGTGACCCCAGTCATAAAAATATTTCCTTGCTACTTCATAACTGTAATTTTTCTACTGCTATAGATCATAATGTAAACATCTGATATTCAGGATATCTGCCAAGAAACCCCTGTGAAAGGGTCATTCAACCCCCTCAAAGGGGTTTGTGACTCACAGGTTGAGAACCATTTATTGGTCTAAATACTTGGGGCTATATTTGGGTCCTGTAATAACTGAGTGAAGTCCTAGCTAGCTAGAATAAAGACTTTTAATTGGCCATAAACTGTGTGTGTGTAACTGGTCATCTGTAGTGGCAGCGTCATAACAATAATTGAGTTGAATGATGGAGGATGAGTAGCATCCTTTAGATGAAAAAAAAAAAGTGTGAGGAGAAGTGGGGTGTGGCAGAATAGGGACCAAATGTCCAGGGGAAATATGAGAAGAGGCACAGAGACACACAGAGCTTACAGACTGTCTAAGACTCTTTTTTTTTTTAAAAAAGATTTATTTGTTTATTATTTATACATTGTTCTGCCTGCACGTGTGCTTACACACCAGAAGAGGGCACTCATTATGGATGGTTGTGAGCCCCCACGTGGCTGCTGGGAATTGAACTCAGGACCTTTAGGAAGAACAGTCAATGCTCTTAACCTCCGAGCCATCTCTCCAGCCCCTGTCTAAGACTCTTAAAATAGAGTTCAGAGGACTTGGCAGAGGAGAGAGAGCTTGGGTCAGAGAGGGAAGATCTTGTATACCTAGCTGAGAATATTGGGTCTTGTGCTTTGGGATACAAAGAACCACTACAGGTTTTTAATCACTGAGGCGTGACTGCTGTGTGCATTGCGTGTGGGTGTTCCCAACAATATTATTTCCGATAGCCAAAAAGTAAAGGAAATTGATTGGCAAATAGATAAACAAAATGTAGTATATCCACATGACAGAATATTATCCAGTAATAAAAAGGAATGGAGTATAATAGATGTCATAACACAGACAGACTTTAAAAAATATCATGCTAAATTTAAAAAGCCAAACACAAAGGGCCACATGTATAATGACATTTATATGAACAGCGGAGATATGCAAATCCAGAGACAGGAAACGTTTAGTAGTTACCAGGGACTGAGGGGAGGGGAAATGGTACTTAGGTGCAGGGTTTCTTTCAAAAGTGTTACAAATATTTCTAAAATAAAAACTGTCACTGGTTGTATGGTCTTGTGAATAGACTACAGAAGCGAATCAGACACTTTTTTAATTTTTATTTTTGTTTATATGTATATGTGCCTCTGTCTGTGGTGAGTGTCTCTTTACATGTGAGTAGGTATCTGAGGAGGTCGTGTGGGAGGGCATCTGAGGAGGCGGTGTGTGTGTGTGTGTGTGTGTGTGTGTGTGTGTTTGAGGAAGCCATGTATGTGCACATGTGTGTATCCAAGGAGGCTTTGTGTGTGTGTGTTTGTCTGGAGAGGCCATGTGTGTGAGTTTCTGAGGGGACCATGTGTGTGGGAGTGCCTGAGGAGGCTCAAGAAAGAGTCAGAGCTCTTAGAACTGCAGCTACAGGCGGTTGTGAACACAGAAGTGTGGTTCTGGGAACAGATCTCATGCTCTCTGGAAGAGCAGCAGGTCTCTTTACTGCTAGACTGTCTGTCCAGCCCCTGAATTGGACTCTTTAAAGGAGTAATTTTGTATTCTGTGAATTTTATCTCTACAACAGAAAGACAGAACTAAAAATATGAGGGTAAGGAGTACATACAGTGTAGTAGGTTTGTGAGAAAAGAAATCAAGGGCCAGCAGGATGGTGTTGGGTAAGGGCACTTGCCATCAAAGCCCAATGACCGAGTTCCACCTAGAGCCCATACTGTGGGAGGAGAGAACTGACTCCTATGAGTTATTCTCTGATCTCTCTGCATGGGCTATGGCATGGTCACTGGTCCTCCAGCACTAGCTACAATTTTTAAAAAGAAAATTAGGATCAAATGTGTCTCCCTACATTTTCAAAAAGAATTATTGGAAGGATAAACACGAAAACAACTGAGTCCTTTTTCTACAAATGGGAAGAGTGGGAAACTGGTACATTTTTTCCTAGATGAGTCTAGCCGGTTCTATTTTAGAGCAATATACGAATGAAGTACGTCACCACTCACATTCAGCAAAGGTTGGGGGTGGGGCAGAAGGAAGGAACACTGGGAAGTGGGATATGATAAAATATATATTTTTATATTGCCTCATTTTTTCACATTGACTCAAAACTCCCAAGGTCTTGTTATCACTAAGCAACCAGAATAACCCTGAGGAGCTTAAGTGCCAGCAGCAGGCACAGTTGGTGTTCTCACACCCCTCACCCCCGATCTTCCACTGCCCATTCACCTCTTTTTTCTCTCAGAGGCTGACCATGGAAACTAAATTTGTTTTTTCTGCAGAGGTCAAGGAAACCCTAATCTTAAATGTACAAATCTTCCTTTCAACTGTAGATAGGGCTCCCTTGCAGACGTGGTTTTGTCTCAGGCCCTCAAAAAGGGGAGAAGGGTCAGAGCAGACAGGCCTTGTGGGGTCTTCTGGAGACTGGCTAGGCAAGAAGTTAGATACGGGGTGTGTTGGGCACTGTGTCTCCGGATTAGACAGAGGATTACACACTCAGGATCTAGGAAATGGTTGTGTCTCATGGCTGTGTCTCCTGAAGGCCAGAATGCCCCATTTGTGGTAAAATATCCTGGAAGCTACACTGGAGTTCTTCGCATTATATCTGAAACTCAGGCTCCAGGAGAGCTTGCTTTTCTTCCTTCCTTCCTTTCTTCCTTCCTTCCATCCCTTCCTTCCTTGTTTATTTTGTTGTTGTTTGAGACAGGGTCTCACTATGTAACCCTGGCTGTCCTGGAACTCACTCCGTAGACCAGGATAACCCTGAGCCCACAGAGATCCTACTGCTTCTGCAGGACACTTTTTTAGATCCACATGTGTTTTAATCAGGGTCTATATCACCAAAAGGTCCTGGCTTCATTAGAAAATTCTTGGTACTGTGGTTTTTGGTGTCCCCATTTCTCAAGGACTTTTCAAGATGATCAAAGGAAGAAATACCCTAAAAGAGAGATGGGGTCTGCCATGATTTTGGAGGGGTGTCATATTTACCCCATAAATATGCTGATCCCTCATAAATATTCATTATAACTTCTTAAAAGTTGAAATAGCCCAACAGGTGGCTAACTACCTACCACCCGCCACCACACCCCACTTTTCAGGTAAGCTCAATCTAATCTCTCACTAGAAGGAATCACTCTTTGCTTTGTTTTGCTCAATAAACTTCTGCTTAAACTATCTGTGTTCCTTGGATGAATTCTGTCCTTTGGGGGGGGGGGGAACACAAGATCTGAGGAGAACCCTTCCCCTAATCAGGTTCTCACCTAATCCCTTAGAACAGGTTCACATCCTTTCTGTCTAGTTGCTTTTCTACATTCTTCTCCAAGCCTCTGTGTAGGCCACAGGATCCATAAGGCCCACATGCAACAGAGTCTCTCCAAAGGGCAGAGTTCAGACACGCAGAGGGGACACAAGGGGACATGCAGAGGCTTTCAAGAAAGTGACAGAGAACCCATCCACATGCCATAGGACAGTGTACCCCAACACTAAGGGAACCATATCTCCCAAACTCAGGACCCTTCCGGCTGCCTCAACTGCCTCTTCATCTGGTTGCTTAATTATGTCTTTTTGAGCATTCCTGTAATAAACAGTGAAGTGTGCCTCCTTCCATTCTGTGAGAACTCTATCCAGGGAGCTCCAAGTTGTAGCCAGCCAACCAGAAGTCCCAGAGGCCTAGCCTTGTGTCTGGGTCTGAAATGGGAGCAGTGTTGATGCTGAAGCTTTTTAACCTGTGAGCTCTGTGCCCACCTGCAGAAGCTTGGCATCATAATGGAATTGAATGCAAGCAGTCCCAGATGCTGTCTTCTGCAGGATTTATTGCTTCCTTGATGGTGGGGAGAAATCTCCACAGCTTTTTGGAGCCTCAGAAATAGTCTATATTTTGAGTAAGAGTGTGAGAAACTGCATCTGTTTTTCCTATACAGATAAGAAAGGAAAGGTGAGAGAGGATGGAGGGAAAGGAAGAAAAAAAAAGGAGAAAGGGAGAGAAGGGGGAGGAAAGAGGAGGAAAAAGGAACGGAAAGGAGAGGAAGGAGGAAGAAGGGAAGGAGGAAAAGTGGGGCAGCTTGGCATTAGCTGCTGGCAGGGGCAGGATGCCTCTGGCTTCTCCATCATTTAGGCTGACCTTGATATCAACAGGGCTGTCCACTCCAGGGATATGATAGAAAGATGTCTGTTGAATGGCCACCATCAAAGCATTTTTCTGTACAGTTTGACATGCGAGGGTCACTTGCATATTTTCCACTCCAGAATGGAACAAGAGCTGCAGGAAGAGAATTTGAATTGTTAGAGATTACCTCCAGAGGAAGGAGGAGCTGACAGTGGAGCTCATCGCTTAGAACTGCATGCTCCACTGTCAGATTGAACCTGCTCTTCCCCAGCCAGCAGCTCATCCCAGGCAGGGAGTCTCTGGGTCTGACCTGCTATGTAGCAGGACACAGGAAGTTCCCCTGTGGTCAGGGAAGGGCTCTGATTAGCTACATGGACTTAGGAGCAGGCTACTGAAAGCCAGGATTAGCTTAAAGTCATCAAGAAAGACATCTACACATAAAGAAGCAAAGAGATTCAAGGGGAAAGGAGAAAAATGGCACCAGGTTTTAAAAGCTCCAGGTGTATACTTTGAAAGTTAAACTTGCTGTATGTACTTTGAACTCTAACAGAAGTCCTCAGGGCTCAAGCCAGGCCTGTGCAAGGCCAGCACTGTTAATAATAAAGAAAAGCTTTTCTTTTGTTTGAGACAGTCTTTCAAGTAGCCCAGGATAGCTTCAAATTAAAACTCACTATGTAGTTGAGGCTGATCTTGAACTCCCAATCTTCCTGCCTCCATCTCCCCAGTGCTGGGATTACAGAAATATGCCATGATGTTAGGTGAGGCTTGGGGGAAAGATTTTCATATGGATGGAAGCCAATTTATGTGAATTAAAGTTTTTTTGTTTAAGAACACAAGAATAAATTGTTTCATTTTACTTTAGTTTCCTTTTCAATTTTATCTTTTTAAAAATAAATAAGTAAATACACAGAATCCCTTACCTTGAGGATGGTTTCTTTTGTATAAAAGCTGAATTTGCCGATTTGGTTATCATCCAGCTCAGAGATGGCTAAGGAGAGGGTGGAGGGTGAGTACCTGTAAGGAGGAGAGTAGAGCTGTCCTGTCCTGACACGCTGCCTGCCAGGGAACGCCCATCTGGCAGCACAGGAAGGCAACTGACCAGATCTGGGATGCCAATTGTAACAGCAAACTTTACAGAGGGCCAGAAACGCTCTGGACTTGGTTGTGGTGACCACGCCATACGGCTGGAAGTCCTTTTTTCCTCATCACACTTGTTTCTTCTTACTTGCTTGACCACACCCGGTCAGGATCCCCCACTAACTCTTCTTTTAAACAACCTTAAATGGCGTCTACTTGCTCTCTGTGCTCCGGCAGCTAGTCGTTCTCTATACTGTGTTCCTGCCTTGGGGGTGTGATTTTTTTGTCAAGTAACTTACGATTTATCAGTCTTTGTCTTCTCGTCTGTCTGTGGGAACCACTGATTATTGGAAAATTATGGCAACTGTGAAATTTATGTGTACGAATGTGCTTTGTAAAGTGTAAGTCGTATGTGGCTTGCATGCTGCTCACACATGTGGCTCCAAAGCAACAAACTGGCATACATAAAATCAAGTCAAGACGCATGCTCTCTAAGTACACAGATCACCCTTTCAGAAGGCTCCTCTTGTCTTGAAGCACAACTGGACATCACTGGGAGGCCTGGTCAAGACTTGACCAGACTACAGAGCATTTGGGCAGCTTGTGCCAATAGGAAGATTCTAGCCCTGGTTTTTCTAGAAGTGTAAAATATCGTCTCTGGGAAAGCCTTCTTTTGAACACCCCTAAACAGTGTCTATGTCTTGCTCTCTGTTGCTCCAGGAGCTAACTGTTCTCTCTACTATGCTCCTGCCTTATCTCTACCGTGAAAGTTGGAGAGCTGGCCTCATCTGAGGCCCCATCACACTCCCTGACTTTCAGCATTGGTCTTGTTTTCGCTAGTGAGGTGAAACAGAGCAAGAGAAACTTGCCCTCATGGAATTATTTGGCAGTGTGTGGAGACATCTTCAATTGTCAGAAACAAACAAGGGGTATGTAGGTTGAAGAGAAGAATGGAGAGGAGGAAGAGAAGGAAAAAGAGTAGAAGGAGGAGGAGGACAGAGGCTGTAGCTGGCATCTCTCGAGCAGAAGTCAAGAATGCTGCTAAGTAACCCAAGGCACATGTAGGGCAATGACCTTCCTCCACTCACTAGTGACAAATGCAGCCCTCATTTCCAGGATGCCAAGATATCCCCAACAGTATCCTGCCATGCTAACGTCTTTTAGTCCCGCCCACACTCTGGGGAGTCCATCGGCCTGGTAACACATCTGAATCATATTTTGAGCAGTGATCTATGCTAGAAGTACAGACTTTTCCTCTCTGGTGCTGTCCCTGTGGCCCTACCAGGGATGGTGCCAGTACTAGGGATCTCTAGGGGCAGCTGGGATCCTGGGAGGAAGGACAGACTAGCTCAGAAGAAAAGCAGTGGGCGCAGGAGAAGCTGGTCCTCCCCACACACCACAGGTTGGCCTAGAGAAAGAAGAGGTGCCTTGCTGTAAGTGAGTAGATGGGGCCTGACGCCGAGCAGAGTGGTGGGGCTGCCCTGGGCCATGAGAGAGCTTTTCATTGGTTGGAACTGGTTTCCTGTGAAGGGAGTCTACTAAGATGTGCGCATGTGCGACCTCTGTGTTTTTTGTTACTGAAGCAGAAGATGCTGTCTTCTTTCTGGTCTGGGAAAGAGAAAGAGGAGGCCAGCCCTCACTCCCCTCATTACAGGACACGGGTACCTGCAAAGCTGGGGAGCCTGTGGTTCCCTTTGCGTTCTCTGACCTGGTTCTCCCATGTCTCGGTGATTTTGTATGTTTCTCGTTATTGATTTTCTTTTTTCCGTGTGTGTGTGTGTGTGTGTGTGTGTATGTGTGTGTGTGTGTGTATGTGTGTGTTGGTAGTGGTCATATGTGTATACGTGTTTGTATGCATAGGGTGCATGCGTGGGTGCGGGTGCTCGCATGTGTAGAGGCCCGAAGTTGATGTCAGGAATTGTTTTCATCCAGCGCTTACAGATATAGCAATTCTGTCTAGCCAGCTTGCTCTGAGGATCATCTGTCTCAGCCTTCTGAGGCTGGGACCCTAGGTCACCACGCCCATGAGGGCTCAGGGCATTTACATGGGTTCTGGGATCCGAACCCCAGTCCTCAAGATCATGCAGCAAGCTCTTTAGCCACAGAGGCATCTTTCCAAAATGAATTTGTGTTTTTAAATCCAGTTATACTCTGGATTGAAATATTGTTTTTCCTCCTTATTAAAAAAGAAAATAATAAGGAAGAAAGAAACTGGCGTGATGACAGGTTACATCCAAGGAAGAGAACTGAGAACTCTCCACCTGCATGCCCAGCAGTGACGGGAAGCATTCTCACAATCATCGGACCTCGACAGCACCTACCTTCTGTAGGCTCACCTGTCTATTCGGCTGCTGTCCTCCAGCAGAGAAGTGATAAAGACCGGAAGGGGTGGTTCCACCCTGTCCTTGTGTGACGCAAACTCAAAGGGAACAGGCCTCAGATACAAATGGGATTCTTCAAAACCCATCTCCTGTGCCAATTCCTTGTACAGCCTTAAAGAGGAAGGAAGGAGCAAGGGTTCATTTTTTTTTTAGTGGTTTTTCCTGAAAGACAAGCAAGCCATGAGGAAGTAGACACCTAAGATTAAGCACAAACACACAACAGAAACAGATGGAGACCTATCTTATGCAAAGTGAGTTATCTAGAAGGATCTTATGCACCGTTTCCCACTTGGTCAGGCAGATGATAGAAAAGTTAAAGCAGGGCATGTGATGCTCTTGGGTACCATCTCAACTCTCTCTTCCTGCTATGCTAGGAACCCCCATGGTAGTCAGTGTTTCCTTCTGAGCAACTTTGACTGTCTTCTCTTGGAGCTCTTCACTCCTAACACCTTGGCCCCTTCCTGGATCCACACAGTCCGTGCTCCTGCCCCATGACCAACCTTCCCCAGTTTTCACTGGCTTTTTTTTTTTTTTTTAAGTTCAGACATGGTCTCTAGAACCATTTCCTCATGTAAGAATCTGCAACCCTTAGCACTGTCCTGATTCACCTCTGAGCTCCATTCAGATGTCCCTCTGGCGGCTGAGCCGGTCTCCTGACACCTTTAATCTAAGCCAGTTCTCTCCGTGAGTTCAGCTGGCACCTGGGTCGGTATGTCAGAGCTGTCACAAAGTACCAGTGAACGCATCGGATGCTTGGTGTGTAAACAACAGAAACCCACTGTCTCAGCTCTGGGGTCACGATGTGGGCAAGTTGGCTCCTCCTCGGGCTGTGAGGAAGGAGCTGTCCACTCTTCTCTCTCTAGCTTGTAATGGTGCCTTCTCCCCACCTTCCCGTGTAGTCTGCCTCAGGGTCCCTCTCGTGAGTTCAACTGTCTGTTGGATTCAGATCCAGCCCAATGCCCTCTGCTTCATTTGACTGTCTCGAGCAGACTTGCCCATCTTGATGTACTAGTTCTTGATCCCATATGTTTTAGACCCAGTTCTATTCATAGCATCATTTCCCATGATGCTTTCCCTGATCTGCTCAGAAAGAATGACATATTCCCTTTGCTGTGCTCCCAACGTTTTTTTTTTTTTCCAAATGAGAAGAGTATCATTAGTATAATAGATTATGGGTAATTTTTACATTATTAACTCCCCGGAGGCTCATCCATCGCAGAGAGGCAGTGTCTGGGAGGTAGCAGCCTAACTGATAGCAGCTCCGTTTCTGATTCTACTACTTTCTAATTTGGAGACTTTGGCCTAATTACTTAAGTTTTCTGACCCTCTATTTCCTTGCTAATGAAGTGTTTGCCCCTGTCTCATAAGCATAGTCTAAGAATGTAATGAAATGATACATAGAAAGTCCCATGAAGACTGTGGTCAAGCAGGCCCTCTATGGTGGCTGGTGGTTGGCTGAACCATCTATGCCTGCAGGGCCTCTTGTGGGAATCAGAACAGCACTATCTGTATTGAAACAGACCCTCTAGCTCCATTTTTCTCCTTTAAGAAAAGTCTTACCATGGTCTCCTACTAAAAACTGCCATAGGCCTCGTTAGCATCTCTCTTCTCTGACCTGCTGAGCCCCTAACCCCAGATGCTGCCACTGACACATTCTTGCGTCTCTAGCCCCTCAGCTGCTCTGCTTTGTTGGATGCAATCGAAAAGCCAGCCAAAATCCTCAGGGTGACTGGTGTGGCTCAGGCCTCGTACCAGGAGCTATGGTGGGTTGTCCCCCAAAGTTCACATGTTAGAAATTTAGTCCCAATACAAGAATAGCTGACAGAGTTTTAAGAGCTGATTGGCTGTGAGGCCTCAGCTGTTAGAGAAGTAGGCCAGCTATTGTAGAAGTGGGTTCCTGATAAAAGAACATTCACTTCCCCCTACTTCTGACTTTCTGACTTTCCCTGTTTCTTCTCTCCCCGCTCCACCTATGAGCATAAGCAAGCGCATGCTCTGTTACCCATCTGTCTTCTGTCATGGGCTGCTGTGGCAAGAAGGCTCTTGTCAGATGTGGACCCCGTGACCTTAGCTTTCTCGAGGTCCAGAGCTGTTAGAAAGAGATTTCTATTCTTTATAAATGACAGGGTCTTTGAGAGTCTGTTCAATAGCACAAACGGATTCAGATTCTAGGTCCCAGGATGTCATGGTAAATAGTCTGGTGGGGATTTTTGTGTTGGAAAGCTGACAAACATTAAGCATCTAAGCAAAAGGACACGTGCTGAGTGGGGGAGGGGGGAATGTGGCTACCCCTGGGAGACTCTTGCCCATTGAATGGTCAGAGAGCCTCATAGGGAGGCTTGGAGAAAAGGAAGGAAGGAGTAAGGTGATGATTTCAGTCTAGCTGCTCTAGGGAGCAGAGGACAAGGCTTGAGGCCGGGAGCCCTGGGATCTATCCCCCACTGACCCAGCCAAGTGTGCGCTCTCCACACTCGCTTCTATCAGCCGGTGACGGAGGGTCAGGACTTCCAGAAGTTTGGAAAATGTCTCCAGGAGCAGGGTGTGGAAATCTTGGCCCTCTTCCTGTCCCTTGTCCACCGCAGACCTGAGTGCAAGCAGGCCCACCTCCTCCACGAGAAAGGGATCACCCATCACATTAGCTGAGAAGAGCTGAAAGGAAACCGAGAAATCTGAAAACCCCCAAAAAGGAAATAGCACGTGTGCCAAAAAGAAAAAAAAAAAATACTGTTCATGGTACAGGCCTGGAAGGCATGATATGCTGGGCCACCAACCAGACACTAACAGATAATAACTACTTATAGGGCTGCCCAGAGGATTATGGGAGCTAATATACGCAGAAACATTTTTTTATATTATAATGGCAAGTGTTGTTATTATAAATGTTTTGAGTCTAAACACAAAAACTAGGGGAGGGGGAACTGAATTGAAATAAAAGTGACTGACTTTAAAAGTATATTTAAAAATCGGAGCTATGGTTCAGTGGTTAAAAGCACTGGCTGCGTTTCCAGGGGTCTTGGGTTGGAGCCCCAGCACCCACATGGCGGCTCAGAACTACTCACAACTCCAGTGCTAAGGGATCCAATGCCTTCCTTGGCTTCCACAGGCACCCAGTAGGCAAATGGCACACAGACATACATACAGGCAAAAGACCCACAGACATAAAATAAAACACTTAAAAATGTTTTGGGGGCCAATAACAATTTTTATAAACCTCTTTAATTGCAGTTTAAAATTTTTTTTCACCCATATGAACTCATTTTAGTTTTCACCACATCCCCTAGGCAGTGTCAAAGATCTCATTATTCTTCTTTAGTAATGAAGAATCTAAAATGACTGGGAATTAAACCGAGGGCCTCATGCTAGGTCAGCCCTTTGCTATGGATTTACTTTTTATTTTTACTTTCAAGCAAGACCTCACTATGTTGCCCAGGCTGGCCTCGAACTTGTAACCCTCCTGCTTCAGCCTTCTGAGACCGTGAGCCTGTCCCCAGGCCTGGCTTGTGACCTTTAAACTTTACAAGGTCATTTAGCAGTACCAAGAGTAACTTTAGCGCCCCACTTCTAAGTTCTGTGGCTTCACAGGACCCCACCTGCCTCACAGTGCCCCCCTCACTCCCAGGTGACCCCATGTGATCCATGAAATATCCAAGGGTGCCCTTAATACCCTTTAATGCCCTTTTGCCTTAGGGAACAGCTGGGCTCTCATATTTCCACTGTCCTCTAAAGCGCCCCTTTCAGTAAGGACCTAGTTGGAGGACCTTCATCTCCTTTTTCTGGTTTGTGCCGGAGGATACAGCTTCCTTAACTAGGTATCTACCAGAAAACTTGTCTACTGGAGACGTGATTTCCAGGCCTCTAAAGAGAGAGCCAAGAGATCTGTTAAATTCCTGCATTTTTTTTTCTTCCCAGAGGGCAATGCTGCATCCATTTTTTAACTCAAAAGTTTAGTCTAAATAACTCAGTTATTTCTAGATTGAATTATGAACATATTTCAAAAAACAATAAATAAAATTGTGCCATCAGCAGGAGACTAGACAAGCACCTCAGACGGTCACTGTAATTTATAAGACAGTTTATAAAATATGACTACAGGACACCATGAGCATAGAAAATGGAGGTAAGACAAATGGCTCCTCACTGCGGGAACATCTCAGTTTCTGCCTCACACATCATCCCATGTACATTAATCCTAGGAAACAGTAAGAGAGCTAGATGTTTAAAAATTAAATCCCTTAAAACTGGGATAAAATGAGGCAAATGAAATATCTAACTAAATGCTTTTCTTCCTGCATTTAGGAGGATAGAAAAAAAAAAATCGCAAAGGAAATGGTCAACAGATCCTACTATGCAAAAATAAGAGTTTTGTTTAAAAAAAAGGCAAGTGAAAAAATATTTGCTGAAAATAGGATAGACAAAAAGGTTAAAATTCTATTTCATTAAAGCTCAGATAACTGGAGAGCAGTGAAATTATTTTCTCAGATAAGCGAACCAAAAAGAAGCGCGCGCGCGCACGCGCGCGCGCACACACACACACACACACACAGACAGCCAGTGACTAAATGTGTTAAAAACAATCTCAGCCGAAGCTGGAGAGATGGCTCAGAGACTGGCCACTCACTGTTCCTGCAGAGGACCTGGGCTTGGTTCCCAGCACCCACATCGGGCAGCTCACACCGCCTATAGGTCATCTGTAAGCGGCTGTGTGCACGCGGTGGGCATAAATCCACACAGGTGTGTACACTCACAATATATATATGTCATCAGGCACAGCCTCAAGCATTGGCCGTTACGGTTGTCCAGCGTCTCCCCAGACCACAAACACACTGTGTAGCATTAAAGCGCCAGTGTGAGAACTGAGAAAATATTTTTCACATACGTATGTAATCCTCCATTTGACTTAAATTATAGTTGCATTCTTATACACTAGCTATAACCTTCACCTCCCACCAAAAATAAAAAAAAATTACATAGAAATACTGGCAAGGCTTGTGAGCGTGCTCTTGCTCTGACCAAATAGAAGTGGAACAGTGCCAAACAGCCAAACACAGCTAAACAGAACCATCTGGAAGGAAGCGGTGCCTTTGCCAGGGACCCAACTGTCCTGGTACAGAACACCTACATCTCTGTGGAGCTGCGCGCTGTACCAGGCCTCGGCCTTGGCTGGGGTGAGCCACAGGTCCAGGGCAAGCTGCAGGACGCGTTTCTCCAGCTGGGCGAGCCTGCTGGGGGACGCAGGCTTGTGGGCGTGGCGAGCCTCGCGCAACACGTGCTCCAGAGCTTCCGGGATGAGCCCAACCAGGCCAAGGGACGGGTGGACCTCCAACAGATGGGCGTTTTCTGTAGCTGGGCTTGAAGACGAGAAGACAGGATGGTTTTATTTTTCACAACAAAGCATAAAGGTAGCTTTTTTTTTTTTTTTTTTTTTTGGAAAGATGTCTGACTTTATATTTTTAAAGACCAATTACTAGACATCCAGGCCCTTCTAAAGACCGGGGAGCACAGAGGGAATTGACCAGCAATGCAACATGCTCTTTGCTTTAACACAAGCCCTGAAGAGTGGGAAGAAACTGATGTATTTCCAATTTGCTTACTGGACAAGTAAACAAATTACTGTAACAAAACTGTCGACACTTAACTAACCACCTGAAAACAGAATAGCTTAACAATAAAAATGATTACATAAAAATAATAATTTCCACTATTTTTGCATCTTTTTTTTTTCTTTCCTTCACCCAAATGTTAATGAACAAAGACAATCTTTTAAAAGTCCTCTGTACACTGTTGGGACTCCTTCATATTTTAGGATAGATGAAGGCCAATATCAATAAAACACTTAACTGCGGATTAATTTCTTTTTTAAATAAAGGCTACAGAACAAGACAGGGGTCTCCCTACCTTAAGACTGAAGGGCACAAATATTTCCATTAGAGTCTATATAAAAGGGTTTCTGCTTGGTCCTAGATCTTGAAGCACACAGCTCAAAGCCTGTATACAAGCTTCGGCCAAACAAATGGCACTGGGTTTGCGGACCAGTCTGACAGCTTTGAGTATCCATTCTAGTCTTAGCCTGATTTGCCAAAAGCCATTTCCGGAGCAGCAGATTCTTTCCACAGCAAGATGTGCTGGTGCCTAGCTCGTTATCATGATGACCTCAGTGTTTCGAGGTCTATGGGGACCTGAGCGCTTTCTTAAGAAGGTAGAATTTCAGCTACTGTCTCTCACAGTGCAGCTTGACTGTCCCCAAGATGTACCTGTCGTGTCAACTTCTTCCATAAAGACTGTCTTTAATGTGCACCTATAGGTGGGGGCCACGCCCGTGTTCAAAAGTATGTGCTGGGTGTTAAGAGACTCGAGACAATTACTCTCCCCGTGTGGAGGCAACTCGGAGATTTTTCATCTCAGGCTATCTGGCTCAATTGTGAGGGGTCTCCTCACAATTTCCTCCAACTCAAAGGAACGGGGTAAGGAAGTAGTCATTTGGGAGGGAGTGACAAAATACGTCCCCGCCCTGAGTGGCTGCAGGAAACTGAACACTGCTCTTTGAAGAGGGAATGCTCAGATGCTCACCTGGAACAATGCTCAGAAGAGTGAGACTGTGAGAAGAAAGAAATTCCTTTCAGAGAAACTTTAAAGTGCTCGCAGGATTCAGATACAGGAGCCGGGCTCAAGGTCTCTGCTCAAGGCCTCTCACATCCACGAAACCTTGAATGGTGCTTAAGAGCTTCGTACTTTGATCCAATACTGCAACCTTAACCACTCTCCAAGAGGAAACGGAAAATGCTAATGCAACATCAACTCACCAGCTATTGCCGAAGGCAACAAAGTGCTTGCAAATTATGTCCAGGGGAAGTCCGAACGTCTTTCCAGCCTCGGGGTGGTCCTCTCGACAGAGCCTTTGGACATATTCCCGCTGCTGCTCTAGCTAAAAAGAACAAATATTCCCCAGACCTGAGCTACGAGCCTTGGATAAACCCCGGTGTCTCTATCATCTCACTAGTTTTCACCCAGGAGTGGCTTTGAAGACTTATCTACGATGGAACATTCTGGTTTCTCCATCAAAGGTCAGCCAAGAAAAGGAAAGCCAACCAATCTGAAAAAGCCAAAGAAACCTGGGCCCGTGGCACGTGCCTTCAATCCCAGCACCCAGGAGGCAGACACAGGTGCATTCCTTCGAATTCAAGGCCAGCCTGGTCTATATTGAGGGGTTTCAGACCAGCCAGAGCTACACAGTGAGTACAAGGCAGCCAGGGCTACAGTGCAGGAGCCTGTCTCAATAAAATAAAATGAAATGAAATAAGCAAAAGTCAGTGTGGTGCATATCTGTAACTCCAGCACTTGAGGCAGGATTTCCAGGGGTTCAGGGCGAGCCTAGGCTCCTTTGTGAGACCTTGTCTCAAAAACAAAAAGGAAGCAAACAAACAAAACCACCCAAACAAAAATCTTCTCTGTATGGGGGGAAAAAAATCAAAATTTTATATGACAGTGTTTTAGAAAGGTGCACCTCTAGACCTTCGTTGATGATAACTCTGATCTCATAAAAGGTCCCCGATTCCTCCATGTGTGTAAGGTTAACTGTAGCTGGGGTTACACGCCTCCCTTTAAGACCTCAGTTATGCTTGGAATTCAGAAGCGCAAATGAGCTTACAAATAAACACTCTGCCCAGAAATCCCAGATTCTGGACCTGCCATGAAAGAACGTTACTTGTATTTCTGGCTTGCAGCTCTCACCCTCCTCCCAGGAGGAGCCATCCAAGCTCTCGCTACTCACGTGGTAGCTGCCGATGGCCCTGGCTAGCTGCAGGTGAAGCTTCAGGCTGGTGCAGTCGTCTCGGTAGGCCTTGGTGAAATACGAGTGGGCGAGATCAAACTTGGGGCGTCGGTACATGATGTCAGTCATTGCTTGCGCCAAGGCGAACCTCCCCCCGGGGTCCAGCGTGTGCTGGTAGGCTTCCAGGTAATTATCTAGAAGCTGAAAATAAGGCTTACGGTCAGAAGACGGTGGGGGCATCTCTGTGCCAGCAGACAAGATGGAAACTTCACCGAGGGCCTTGACGAGTCCCGGGGCCTTAATGGAAGACAGATACTGGAACCTCTGGGTAGCTAGTGGTCTGGTACTGGCAAACACGGTTAAAAGCTGGTGAGTTAGCAAACCGGCAGGGTAAAGAGGGCAAGAGCTGGAGCCGGAAGAAACTGGACTTAAATCTGCTTTTGTTCTTTCTTCCCCTCATCTTTACAAACGGAAGGAACGCCATGTGGTTGATAGTCCTGTTTGCTGTTGCTGGACCGCTAGATATCCAGATTTCCAGAGAACCTGACAACCCTAACCACCTGGAACTAAGTCTAAAGAGGTCTTCATCCCCTTTCCCGTCTAACCTTCTTTCTCTCCTATCTAGGGTTGAGGGCTTGGAAGGGAGACAGAGACTTAAGAAACCCCAAACAAAGTAGAGTTTAAAAAACAGTGCCTACAAGAACCCGAGTCTGATCCCCCAGAACCCACATTTTAAAAAATGCCGGGTAGCCGGGTGCCGTAGCCCACGCCTGTGATCCCAGCACTCTGGGAGGCAGAGGCAGACAGATCTCTGTGAGTGGTAGGCCTGTCTGGTCTACAAATCGAATCCAGGATGGCCAAGGCTACACGGAGAAACCCTGTTTCAAAAAAAACAAAAACAAAACAAAACAAAAACAAACAAAAGGCAGGCATAGTGGCGTTTCTTTGTAATGTTAGCACTGAAGAGGCAGAGGCAGGCAGATCCCTGCGGACCACTGGCCAGCTAGCCTAGCCCTACTTGGGGAGTTCTAGGCTGAAGAGAGACCCTGTCTCAAAAAGAACATAGATGGCATCTGAAAAGTGACACCTAGCTTCCATATGCATGCACATACATGTGCAAGAGCACCTTACACACATGTATCCTCATACACGAATGTGTACACACACATACACACATACAGAAATCATGGGCTTGAGGCTGTCATTTTCATACATTGTTTTTCTTCATTCCCCTCCTCCATTCCCCTTCCCCATCCCCCTGGCTGGCCCCCTTCCCTGCAGTGCCTCGGCACCCTCCCTCTTTTTCTACCTCACTGTCTCTTTTCTAGTTTCATGTCCCAAGCACCCAACCCCACACTCACATACAAACATTAAAGTCTAGGATTTGCAGCTGAGAGAAAACATACACGCATCTTCCCATGTCTGGGAGAGTTTGTCTAACATAAGTCTTATTTGTATCTATTTTTTTTCTGCAAGCATCATGATTTTATTTTCCTTTATAGCTGAATAAAATTCCACTGTTTATGTGTACCACATTTTTCTATTACATATTCATCTACTGACAGACGTCTAAGCTGATTCCACGTTCTGGCTATTGTGAATAGAGCAGCAATAATCGTGAGCGCCCAAGTGTCTCTGGTAGAATTTACAGTCCTCTGGGTATACGCCCGGGACTGACATAGCTGGGCCATCTGGTAGTTCTATTCTGTGAGAAACCTTCACACTGATCTCCATAGCTGCTCTGGCAGTTACATTCCGACCGACAGAATAGAAGGACTCCAAGCTCCCATCTCCTCAGCAAGCTCATTGCTGCTTGTTTTCTTGAGTCAGCCATTCTGACGGGGGTGAGGTGGTCTCTCAGACAAGTTTCAGTTCACATTTCCCTGATCAGCAAGAATGCTGAACACTATTTCAAATGTCATTTGGGCCAGGGAGATGGCTGGGTGGTTACGAACACCTGTAGCTAAGCCTTAAGACTTGGGTTCAATCCCCGGGATCTGTTGACACGGTGGAAGCAGAGAACTGACTCTTACAAGCTGACCTCTGACCTCCACATGGGCGCCATGGCACACACAGGCAAAGTCGGTAGCAGTGTCATAAAAAAGTAATAAAATATTTAGTTGCTACTGTGTTTCCTCTTTTGAGAAGTATCTGACCAGTTCGTGGGCCTATTTGTGGATGGGAAGATTACCTTTTCACTTGTGGGCTTGAGTCCTCTGTTCTCTGAGACCTCCACATGTACACACAGTCAACCCCTCTGTCTTTTGTCATTTATTTCCAAGGCCCATGGCACTGAATTGGCAGGTGCAGAGGAGGAAGAATTTTCCTTTTTTACCAAGAGGGACTGAACAGACACTAGGAGTCGGATGTCATCTATACAGAGGTGTTCCTATCTGCCTGCGCAATGTCAAGGCTTGTGGAAGTGACTCTGGGAATTTGTTAGTACCTCACAGACTCTTAGGTTTGAACATGTGGTCTCCAGCTGGTGGTACCGTTTCAAGACGTTGTGGAACATTTGAAGAGTGGAAGAAGTGGATCTGGTGGTGTGGGCCTTGAAGTTTGCAGCCCAGGGTGACTTCCTGTCCTGTCCTGTTGTGAGGAAGTAAGGATCCCCAGCTACACTCTCCCTCCTGTTGCCATGGAGCTGCTTGCCTCCATGCCTTCCAAATCAAGATCCATTACAGAAGCTCAACTGTGTGAGCCAGAATAAATCCTTCCTCTCCGAAGTGGCTTCTTTTAGGCATTTCATCACAGCACACAGAAAAGTGATTAACGTGGCGCTCACGCTTTTGTGGGTGCCCTTTTGGAAAGGTGCCAAATCCAACCAAGAGGAGCCAGAAGCTCAGGCTGCCTTGGAAGGAATGCTGAGGGATCAGAAACTCACACTTCAAAGCATGGCGTGAAGAAAGGTGGTGAATTTCGTATGGCTCTAAGTTCATCCCAGAGAAAATGAGGATGGTCTAAGTGATCGCCCAAGATCTGCTCTAGAGTAATAGCCAACTGTTAACAGAAAGGAAGAAGAAATGAAGGAATGACTCCAGGGGCTCAGAGTGTCTCAGCTGTCCCAGAGAGATTAAGGAAGAAACATGTACTTCCTGGCTGGGTCAGGGCAATCCTGGGAGCTGGTTTATTGTATTTAAACTTCTTGACCTGTTTTTGGACAAAGAGCCCAATTGTTGGTTTCTTTCACAAGGGATATTGGCTTGCAGGAGAGTCCCTTCTGGCCATCCCAATGTGGTGAAGCCAAGTTGCAGAGGACCTTGCTAAACTGAATGCTTACTGTCAATGAAAAGGTTGCTAGGGTCAGCAAATAAGAACACAGAATGTCCAGACAGTCTAAAAGAGTCCAGCAAGAAAGGTACCAAGCCCGAGTACCTGAGTTCACTCTCTGGAAGTCACATCACAGAAGGCAAGAGCACACTCCCCTAAGTTATCCTCTGAATTGTCTAATGTGAGCTGGGGCACGCCTACTGAGCCCCAACTAAGGCTGCACCCCCCAAAGTAAGTAGAAATACAAGGCATCCAAGCAACTTTTAATTTCAGCTGAGTAACAAATACTCGTAAGTATGACCCAAATATTGTAATATTTTTATCTGTTGAGAAGGAAAATGTAATTTAAGGTAATAACATCTTTTCAGTCTTTCGGTTCAGCTGAGAGAAAGTTTCCGGTGTCAACTGCAACATTTTATTATGGATTCCTTCCTAGCAAGGGTGGGGCATGATCCTTCTGCCTCACGGGTTCTATTTGTTAGCTGTTTGCTAACTGGCCCAGTTCCATTTAAACTCCAGGCTGGCATTTGCCTGAGAAACCTTCCCAACTTGACAAATGTCACCTTTGTGTGTCAAGGACCAACTCTCAGCAAAGAAATATGCTCTTCACAGGGAGAGTAGCAGGGAAATGCTGGAGAAAATAGGAAAACAGACAAAACTGATAATACAAAACCTCACTGGGCTCACCTGATTTGTGAGATTGTCTTATTTGTAAGATCTAAGATTTATGATAACTTTTTGAAGACACACCAAAGTGTCAGACAGGAAATCGGCGGAAGCAGATGCAGCCTGCCATAGACCCTCTCCCCCTTGTCGCAGGGATAATGCATGAAAATCACGTTAATGCTGCCTAGGTGGATTCGAATTGTTGCAGAAGGTGTCTGGTGACTTGAGGGAAAGCAGGAGATGGGACAGCATGATCTAAAAGCTGTCCCACCAACTCTCTGGCTTCTCTAGTCCCCCAAGCCACATAAGCTGACATCAGCTCTGATTTTATCGTCTTCATACACACAGTGGTTATTTTAAGGACTTGAAAGAACCTAATACATCGCAGGGCCTCTTAAATGGCGATACCCATACATTTAACAATTGAAAACAGCTGAGAAGACTTGGCAGCGCAGTCAGTGTGGGGGTCGGGGACCAATTGTACCTCAGATGGAAATTTGGCTCAGCCACGTAAGATGGGTTCTTTGGCTAGAATTTCTGACTTGGAAGACCATATTTTACAATTTTGGCCCAGAAAGCTCAGTTTCTATAGGGAACTTCTTATTCTCCAGGTAGGATTCAAGGGAAAGATATTTTCAACAATTGTTTTAAATTAAAATAGCTTCATGTCCCCTGGAAGGAGCCAGAGGGCAGCTTTGACAGCTTAGCATGTAATGAACTACAGTGTGGCTGAGGGCTTGGTCTCTGTCCTTCCTTCCTTTGACTCTTCTGCTGCCATTGAATCCTGCCTGAGGCTTCCATGAAAGGGAAAGAGAAGACTGGTGTGTCTACACACACACACACACACACACACACACACACACACACACACACAGAAGAATTAGGTAAAAGAGGTCTACAGACCTTTTTCCTGCTAATCTCCTACCTCAGGTCAGAGGGTTGGAAGGGAGATAAAGGCATTTAAGAACCTAAAATAATTAGGCTTTTGAAAAATATAAGCCTACAGTCTGAGTTTCTCACTGGTGGTCGCTATTTGTGAAAAGAACTGTCTCCCAAAGTCTGAGCCTGGCACCTTTTCAGCTCAGACAGTTGTTTCCAAACGATCAGTGATCTGCATCTCTGTGAGTAACTGACCGGGGGGCACATAAAACTGTTAGAACGACACCACCTTCACTTGCCGGTTTTCAGACCACATGGCAGCTGTGGTCGGCTGGCTTCCACACCCAGGCACTCCTGACAGAGCCCTACAGAGCTGCAAGGGCCACCTGAGCTCTGAGCCTACTCTGGGGCCTTGGACACATCTTCCTCAACATTGTACTGCACTCTTAGTCAGTGGGCACCCTCCAGCTCTTTCCTGTTGGCCCTTACAAACTATTTCTTCCCTGTTTGGCTTCAGTTTAGGCTACTCCTGCTCCACAGCCTGCTCCATAAAAGTAGGTATCACCAGGGGCCCATTCAGACACTCCATCTTTTTCCACTCATGGCTACGGTAGAGGTGATCTCTTCTCTAAGGGTTTCTTATTCAATCCATCCTCCATGTAGACGTTAAGACAGCTACTGAAAACATTTCTCACCTACGGCTCTTCTTCACTTCTCCAAAGCGTCTCAACTCATTCCAACGGTCATGTAACTGAATATAGGGAACACACGCACACACACACACGCACGCACGCACGCGCGCACGGCAATATTAAAGGGTTTATGAATACACAACAATGAAAACCTAACTCACAATCAAATGCATAGGCGCAGTGCTTGCCCACCTTGCATTAGTCATGTGCCTTCCGTGCAGGCTGAGTTTCTAAGCACGTAACATACACACTTCATACTTTTAACGTCATCCCACCATACAGTGCCAATACACACTGCCTGAAACACCCAACTGAGGTTTGAGAACACTGTATGTTATAAATTTCAGTGTTTGGCCATACGTGTAAGTGTTCTGTTCTGATAAGAGCATAATGATTTAATTGTGAAAAAACCAAGGTTATTTTTACTGTTTTTGCACTTCCATTCTTCAGCATATTAAGTATCAAATTAGTGTATCTTTGAAGTGGGTTGGAGTAAAGAAACAGGGAGAGCCATTTCATTGGTTTGGAAATTTACTTTTGTTCTTAGTAAGCAGTAGAACCGCAGTACACCAAAGAATTTTTTAAACTAAATTTCTTTATGATTTACTATCAGTGATGCTTGATCTGTACATCTTTTATATATAGGTATATGTCTGGAGCTGTGTAAAATTTTCTTAGACAAAATGGATTACAAATGGGAACATTTCAAGAAACCTGAGTTATCCAATGAACCTTAAAATTAACTAGTTCACTGGGGGTGGGGAGTGGAGTGGGAAGGCCCGGGAGAGAAAACGAAAAAATGATGGAGGAACATCTCTGGGCCAGGGGAGGTGCCTGGGAGTCTATGGGGTGACCCTAGCTGAGACTCTTCAGGGGATATGGAGCCTGAAGTTGTCACCTCCTGTAGCAGGGGGAACTCCCAGTGCGGGTGTGGGGGCACCAACTCACCCATAAAACCAGTGACCCCAAATTAGTCTTTCCTACAAGAAGTATAGGGATAAAGATGGAGCAGAGATTGAGGGAATGGGAAAACTAATGAGCAGCCCAACTTGAGACCCACCCCATGGGACAGAGCCAACCCCTGACACTAGCATAACTGTCTTTATACAGCAGCTGATGGAAACAGATGCAGAGACCCACAGCCAAACAACAGGCCAAGCTCGGGGAGTTTTGTGGAAGAGTGTATGTATGTGTATGTGTGTGGGGGGGAGGGAATTGAAGGAGCTGGAGGGGTCAAGGATACCGTAAGAAGGCCTACAGAGTAAATTAACCTGGGCCCATGGGGGCTCACGGAGACTGAACCACCACCCAGAGAGCATACACAGGCTGGACCTAGACCTCCTCCACATATGTAACAAATGTGCAGCTTGGTCAACATACAGGTCCCTTAACAAGAGGAGCAGTGGCTGTCTCTGACTCTGTTGCCTGCCACTGGATCCCTTTCCCCTAGCTGGACTGCCTTGTCTGGTCTCAGTGGGAGAGGATATGTGCTTAGCCCTGCTGTGACTTTAGGTGTCAGGGTGGGTAGGTACCCTTGGGAGGGGCCTCTTCTTCTCTGAGAAGGGAGAGGAAGGGAGAGAGGGAGGGGATGTAAAGGTGGGGCTGGGAGGAGAGGAGGGAGGGAACTTCAATCAGGCTATAAAGTGATTAAATAAATAAATAGATGGTTCACAGTCTGTACCCAAATAGGTTTACATGTAAATCCCCCCCCCGCCCCTGTTAGCAGTCTGCCAAGGAAGGAGTCTCCCTGGCTGTTCCCCGTTTGACACTCTCTGACATTGTAAATGGCATTTTCTATACTTTAGAGTCTTTCTCCGCCAGACACCTTATTCATCTTTTAGCCGTATCTGTTCCTTGGGAAGACTTAGTGACAATTTTCTCAACTTTGACAATCCCCACACAAGACAAATATCTCTTTCTACTGACGGCCCCTGCTCTTGAATGCGCTCAGTTACAAGGATGTTTTGCTTAGAAATTGATTAAACTTTTAGAGACCATAAATTTCTCTTTTTCTATGATTTAGAAATGTATATTTTTAAGATGGTAAAACATAAATCTTATGTGTAATTGTCCATCCCTGAGCTTCCACCAGAGGCCTTTTAAACAGTAAGGCATATATCGACTGCTGTCATAGGTGTCCTGGGACTTTCAGGTTGAAGGGTGTTTGTGAAAACATTGGACAGACAAGACTCTAAATACCTTTGTGAGACTCTAAGTTTCTTAAAGATACGAATACTCTTTTGCATGTATCTATAAATCTCTGAAATAGCACCTAGCAAGGTAATTTTTAAATTTTGATTAAAAAAAAAAACCCAAAAACCTCTTAGCATGGAATTAGAGAGATGAGGGATGACTCGGTGGTTAAAAGTGCTTGCTGTGGGGCTGGAGAGATGGCCCAATGGTTAAGAGCCCCCGCTGCTCTTCCAGAGGACCAGGTTCAATCTCTGGCACCCACGTAGCAGCTCACAACTGTCTGTAACTCCAGCTCCAGGGGATCTGACACCCTCACACCAATACGCATGAAATAAAATTAAATTATAATCAGAAAGTGCTTGCTGCTCCTGTGATGGGCTTGAGTTCAGTTCCCAGCGGCTCTCAACTGCCTTTCACGCAAACACATTTCACAGGCCTCCACATACATCTGCGCTCCGGTACACACCCCTTCTCACACATAACTAAAAATAAGAGTTAAGCCCTTTAAAAAACGCTCCTAACAACTGGTGATGACTGGAAGGGTTAAGTGAAGGCCAGCTCACCTGCAAGTTCCATGTCTTACTAGGACATGATGTGGCTGGTGGATTAGCAGCCTGCAATTCCTTTGCTGGGTATTCAGCCTCCTGACTACTGTGCTCAGCACTCCCTGCTTTTACTCACTGGCATAGTCCAGTGGCTGTGACTGGTCAGTGGGTCTGCCTCTGTTTAAGCTTGTCTCTGTGAATCTGAGCGGTCACCACCCATTCTTACTAATAGGATACACAGACTAAGAAAAGCCTGGATCACAGAGCCCTCTAACAAAACATGCCTACAAGATAACGTGGTATCGTTCACATCTTATTTTTTTGTGAGGAAGAACTACAGCAAGGAAATTAAATTTAACTGGGCCTGCAGGCACAGGCCTGAAATTTCAGCTACTTAGAATGCTGATATAGGAGGATTAGGCGTTCAAAGACAGCCTGGACTACAGAGCTAGTTTAAGGGCAGCCTGAGCCCTTAGTGAGATATGTCTCATAAGAAAAAGTAAGAAGAGGGGTGTGGAGAGACAGCTCAGAAGTTCAGAGCACTTGTTGCTCTTTCAGAAGACCAGAGTTCGAGTCCCAGGTCCCCTATGGTGGCTCACAAGCCTAACTCCACTTCCAGGAGATCTGATGCCCGCTTCTGGACCCCCAGAGTACCGGGCACACATGTGGTATGTATACATACATGCGGGCAAACATACATACAAAATAAAACAAATCTAAAAGAAAAAAAAAAAACCTCTAAAATTAAAAAAAAAGAGAAAGAGAGATTGGGATACAGCTCATTTGAAAAGCACTTGACTAGAATGAACAAGGCCTTGGGGTCAGTCTTCACTGACTCACAAACAAACACAAACATACACACACACACACACACACACACATACGGTGTTCAAATTCTGTAGGCTAGAAATGAAAATTAATAATTTAAAGCTTTATTTATTTGCTTTCTTGAGAGCAGCCTTAAATGTCTCGTTGGGTTTAGCAACAACAAACAAACAAACAAACAAAAAAAACCGAACCTGTCTCAGTGCAAATAGACTTCGCTGTTTAGTTTTTCTGTTTGTTTGAGATAGTCTCGTTATGCAGCCAGCTGGCCTGGAACCCCTGTGTAGTCTACGCTGGCTTCAGACTTGCAGCAATCCCTCTGCCTCGGCCTCCTGGGGACTGTGATTACAGGTGGATACCTCAAGCGCCAGCAAACGGTTCTTTGAGAGACAGTTTGCCTTCTAGCAGTCATACCTGGCGTTTGCTTTCTAGAAGGTTTGCTTCGCAGGTCCACAGGTCATACAGCACCTCGAACCTGTCCACACTGCCATGGGCCCAGCCCCAGCACTGGCTGCTCTCTGACTTGCTATCCTCCTTGTGACCTGGGAAGAAGCCAGTGGGAATGGTTAGAGACAAACCTTCTCAAAACACTCCTTCTCTGAAGAACACAGAGACCAGAAGCTCTGTCTCAGGCATAGACCGGATCCCCAAAGTGAGCTGAAGAGCTACCTGAAAAGACCAGGCCAAAAGCCCACACTTGTTAACTCCCAAATCAACAGGTGTTTGGGGGTTTACTTTGATACAGGGCCTGACTGTGTAGCCTTGGCTGGCCTGAAACTCACAGAGATCTGCCTGCCTCTGCCTCCTGAGAGCTGGGATTATAAGTGCTGTCTTCACCCACTGTGAATGGTTTCCCATTTCACAACTGCCTGAGAGGACCCTGACAGCCTCACCACACCACGCTTGGTTAAATTTTTATCATTGTGAGACCGAGTCTCATGTAGCGCAGGCTGGCCCCGAACTCACTATATAGTGCTGAGGATGACCCTGAACTTCTGATCCTCCTGTCTCTACTGCACAAACTGAGAGCCCTGGCATCACATGCATGCCCACCATGCCCGGTTTATGTGGTGCTGGGCATCAAGCCCAGGGTTGCCAACCGAACCACACCTCCAGGCCTTCAAAGACTGTTTAGAAATAAAACCAGTTGGCATGAAATCTATGTTAAAAATGTTCCCGAATTTACAGCTTTAAAGGCAGAGTGTACATTTTTCCTTTTTCAAAAACTGGTGTCTGGTGATTTAACAACTTGAATTAATGTAATATTTTTCTTTCTGTGTGAAGTGTGTGTGTGTGAGAGAGAGAGAGAGAGAGAGAGAGAGAGGACCCTAAGGTGGTGTTCTTTGAGGGATTTGTTTTGAAGGTTCACTATGTAGGATAAGCTGATTGTTCATGAAGCCCTTGGAATCCTCCTACCCCCGCCTCCGGAACAGGCATTACAGAGTTGGCAAACATGGCCAGCTTTTTAGGTGGTGGGGATTCACCTTAGGCCCCCACGATTACAAGGCAAGCACTTTTACTGCCTGAGCCATCTTGCCAGCCCTGCTATTGTCACTAACGTTAACAATGTCAGAAATTTCCAGAGAGCCTTCTAAGACATTCCTTAGTTACATTAATTGCCCCCGTAACACGGTGAAGCTAATGACCATTTGGCAGAAATATTTTCTATCGGATCGGTGTTAGCTTCACTGCCAAAATGATTATCGCTTCCAATTTGTAAGTGGCTCACTTCAGGAGAAGATAGTAGAAGGCAAGAAACAGCCAGGTTCTGACACGTGAGCTGAAGAATTATCGGCTCCGTGACGGGTGTTTAGCAAGAGACGGGCTTTGAGCAGGGTCCAGTGAAACGGGAAACTATTTCACAGTGGTTGACCACAGCACGGCCAGCGAGCGCCTGCGAAAATGGCCTTGTGGTTAAATGCGTTCCAACCGAATTACGTTCTCAGCGGACAGAAATAGCTACGCGGGGTTGGGGTTGTCAATAAATACGGAGAAAAGCCGGGTGGAGTAGAACCACTGAAAAGAGAACGCTGAGAGCCGAAACGAAACGTTCTAGAATGCTGGGGGCGTGACTGCAGGTACAGCTGTGGCGACGCCCGCATATTCTAATCCGTGCAGCGGCGTATCAAATCAACGCTGCCCGGGATCTGAAGAGCCAGCTGTCAAACGTCCTCCGAGAAGCATTTCATACGCGATACAACACAACACAAACACCTTCTTAACCCCGTTTCCTGGGCTGCGCTCTTAGCCCTTTCCAAACGCAACAGGAAACGCTACTGTACCATCCCAGGGGAAACCGCCTCCCCCCACCTACTTTTAAAACCGGACGATCGGTGATGGGGCCAGAGGAAGCAAAAACTGGTAATTATGGGCTGCTAGATTAGCCCAAGTCTCGAGTCCTCCCTTTGGGGATGCCTGGCATTCTCGTAGCCAGATCCCCTGGCGGGGCCCGTGATGGCCGCTTCTAAACCAGGCTTCCTCAAGGCCAGGGGGCTCAGGAAAAACATCCCTCATTCCTGTGCTCTCCCGGGCACAGGAGCCTGTACCACATCCCTTCCACCCAGGGGGTGATGTAGGACTTTCCCCCCCGGGAGCAAGCAATCGAACAACAGCAAGAATTACAACTGATCCCTTAAAAAAAAAAAAAAAAAAAAAAAACCAACATAGCTCCATCACCTGAGGCACCTGCGTGCGTGCGTGCGTCCGAATATGCATGTGGGGGCGTCAGAGGACAGCTTGCCAGACTTGGTTCACTTGGGTAAGGACTCTGGTATGCTTACGTTTTAAATACTATTGTTTGGTCCCCGGTCTGTGTGTTTTGTTTGTTTTTTCGGTACCAGAGATTTACAAGAGCCTTGTGCACACCAACCGAGCACGCTACCCCTGAGCTTCATCCCCAGCCCTGGCCCGTTAATTTTTTTTTTTTTTTTGTCTAATCTGCCTCCTTACTTTTTTCTTTCTCAATGTAATGGCTGGCGATGAGCAGCAGCTCCGACTCCAGCTCCTTCAGATCCCGCAGGGCGTCATCGTACATGACGTACAGGCCGAGCTGGTCCTGAGTGTGGACACAGCCAGCTTGGGTGCTGTAGAAGTCGTCCTGGTTCTGAACTTCCTAGAACTCCAAGAACTGGACTCCTTGGACCTGGGGCAGGAAAACCAAACCCCAAAGTTACTGGAAAAGGGAAACTTATAGTATTGTCAGTCCAAATGCCCAGGGCAGTGGGTTTCCTCCTCCCACACAGAGGGCTGATGGTGGAGAGCCACAAGCATGCTGAATGTGCGAAGATCTGAATTGTGCCTGTGTATAGTCTCTCTCTCCATATATATAGTCTCAGTCAAACACTGTGAAACTTGTATTTTCAGCAAAGAATTCGAAGAATTCAAATATCTTTTATCTCCCCCAACCTATAAGACCTTTACACAAATGTTGGAACCCCCACTTTTGTGTAGCCAAAAGCCTGCTGCTGCATTCTTCTCGCTTGAGGGACTTTAAGTGACTGTCCCTTTCCGTAACCCTTCATCTTCTTTACGCTGATTCTTCTAAAACCAGCCAGTCATGAGAGACTGAGGTCAGTCCCCAGCTAGTGGGGGAAAGACGTGGTCACCAGCATTAGGGTTAAAAAACCAAGTGAATCTGCTACCTCCATGTGCTTGCTTTTCCACTCTTATGAACAGCACACCCTTCTGAACAAAAGGAAAGTCCTGCCTTGTCAAGACACTTTAATTGGGGTGGTGGTCTCTTTGGGAATCTGAACTTGTTTATAACACACACACACAGACATTTATAGACAAAGAGTATTGGTAGGAAGAGGCTGCTCTTCCAGTTAATTCCAGAGAAACTGGAAAGGGTACTTGGTCCATCCCGGGTTTATGTGGTCTTTGAAGTCAGAGGCTGGGTCAGAGCGCACCCAGGATCTTACCCTGGCTGACCTGCTCTCCTGCTCTTAGGTCATTGGCAAAATGGGAAGGGTAAGACACCAGGAGATGGGAATACTAGAGTGTCTTTGAAGATGGTGGGGCCTTTCTCAGAGGTTAGTGGGCTTAGCTGAGAGGGGAAGTCTCAGAGTCCCGGAAACTCTACATCCTCCAAAAGGCAGAGGGAACAGAGCTCCCATACAGCAGGGTGGGTCCCAGGAGAGAGGGTACCATCTAGCTGATGCTCTGGGAGCTTATAAAGGGCTTCTGGCAGAAGCTGGAGTGAGGCTTGGGGAGGGAGATGAGCTAGTCCAGTCGGCCCAACCAGGCACTAGGTGGCTCTTCTTGGCTCTGTCACTCACAAATAGCTGTTGGGTGGAGGTGACATTTAAAAACTAAAAAATAGAAACGAGAACTCTCTTCTGGCATTCCTGGCCCCCAACAAGGACATTCTCCTAATTCCTGCCTTGATGTTGCTGCCTGATCTGATTGATTTCCATCTCTCACTCTCATCATTTCCACCCGATAATAAATGCACGGACTATGTGGACACCACACAGGTGAGGGACGTCGGATTCATAGACTCTGGCTGTTAAGAGATTTTTGGTTTGATTCTGTGAGTTCTGGGCTGGCGAGGCTCAATGGATAAACGCACTAACTGAAGAGGCCTACTAACCTGAGTTTGAGCTCCAGAACCCAACTAATAAGCCAGATGTGGTGGCACACATCTGTAACCCCAGCTCTCTTACCTAGAGATGGGGGTTGGGGGCAGAGACGGAAGAATTGCCTGGAAGCTTGCAGGGGAGCCAACCTGAGAAGCTGTACAGCCGCAGAAACGAGAGACTCTGCCTCAAGCAGAGATGAGGTCTCCTGAAAGTTATTCTCCGACACACACACAAAATTAATCAGTTACTATTTAATTCTATAAGTTCCTCCAAAATGCGTTGTAACAGTCTTGTGTTTTAGTAATTTACTGTGTTGGATAACATCCCCCAAATTCAGGTATGCCCGGAAACCTAGACTTTACTTGGAAACAGGCTCTTTATAGAAACAATCAAATTAAGAGTTCACTCTACTGGGTTAGAGTGGGTCCTTTCCAATAAGTGATGTCCTTCTTAGAAGAAGAAATTTGGAGATTGACACTGAGGGGAGAAGGACACAGGAAGCCACAGGTGGAGGAGCTTAACGTTACTCATCTGTAAGTCAAGAAATGCCAAGGTGAGCACTCACAGTGGCACAGGCCTGTGAACCCAGCTGTGCTAGAGCCCGTAACGGGAGGATCACAAGCCACAGGCCAATGTGAATAATTCAGGGAGACCTAGTCTTGAAATAAAATAATTAAAAGCTGGAGAGGAGAGCTGGGGATGTAGGTCATGGCACAGTATATGCATATCTGGTATGAGATCATGGGCTTAACTCCCAGTACCTCACTCAAGAGAATGAGGAGGGTGGGAGTAAAGGGGAAGAGGGAGGATTGGGCAGGAGGAGGGACACATAGGGAAGAAGACAAGGGAGAAGGAAGGAGAAAGGATGGGGAAGGAGGAGAGCCAAAGAATGGCAAGAATTGCCCCAAACTGCCAGAAGCTGGAAGAGGCAACTTAGGCTATCCTCAGAGTTCGGAAAAAGCGTGGTCCTGCCAACTCTTTGGTTTGGACAGGTGGCATCCAGAACTGTGGCAGTCTATTTCTGCCACGAACCATTCACTCGTTCCAAAGTGCTTTGTTGTGTGGCAGCCCTAGAAACTCACAATCACAAAATATTTCAACTGCATCACTGCTGACCTGGGGTTCCTGGGAATCTCAGAGTTGTTCTCTGAGGCATTTTGGCCACAGCTGTGCAAAGATAACTAGCCCGTCCCAGTCACTTCCTGTGGGTTGCAGCTCCGTTACGATCCAGCTTCCTTACCTCGCCTTAGGTAAGTTTTCACGGTCCTCTGAAAGACCCTCTTTCTAGAGGCTTTCTTTGTGGCCCAGAAAGTTGGTCCTGCAATATTATTCTTGGAGGAGTGGCAGGAAAAGGAGGGCAGTAATTAGTGTCTGAGTAAGAAATAATACGGCCTTTGGAATGATTCATGTGTGTTTCAAGTCTGGACATTAACTGAGACTGAGGTAACTCTGATGAATACGAATAGAGTAACTGCAGGAAAAGCGTCATTACGCCCAGAGTAGCTTCCGCCCCCGCTTACTAATGTGCATTTTAGGCCTTTGTTGCAACATAGACGGTGTGTTCTGACTGGGTTACATTTTCCTAAACTATCATGCATGAAGATATTATTAATGGGCATTCAACTCAAGACTCCAGTCAGAACTGTTGGTCAAATGACAGACTCATTAGTTTCAATTTTTAAAACATTAAAAAAACATTGTGTGTGTAAGCGCGCGCGTGCTGGGGGGCCGGTCAGAGGACAGCTGCATGACTCAGTTCTCTCCTTCCATCAGGTGAGTTCCCGAGAGCAAACCCAGGTTGCCAGACTCCGTGTCCAGCACCCTTACCCACAGAGCCATCTCACGGGGATGAGGGGGGGTCTTTGAAAAGAAGGTCAAAGCTATGTTTTGCTTGCTTTTTCTTCTGCTCTGTAAGCATAGTATCACTGCAGTGGGTCACTGAACAGTTCAACAGCGCGATGCACCTCACAGAGCTCTTCTGGGCAGAGTCTTCTTATCATCTAAACGTTCTGTCGTGAGCAGAGCCTGTCTGTCTGCAGCTGAACATTAAATAAATATGTACTATGTGAAAGGAAAACCCAGGTCTCAGCTTCCTTTCATTACTTGAGTTAGTACCCCAAACTTAATCAAGTCCCACCTGAAATTCTAACCATCTCCATCAGATCTCAGTTCTAACCCGCAACTCCAAACTTGAGGTCGAAGTTTTGGAATCAGTCCCGACTTCTTCATCTGGAAGTCGTCCTGGCTGGGTCTTTAAAAAGCACTCACAAACTACTTGATGACCTCCTTCTGACGACCTCCTTCTGACGCGTTGTCAGGCCATTGTATTGTCTCGTTCCCACTGTAGGATGTGTTTGTGCAAATCCAGGTTGCATAGCCTGTTACATATATGGTACAGCTTATTGACTGCAGGCTGTGGTGGTCTGATTATTACATTTGAGTGCTCGGCCTATAGTGAGTTGGCGTTATTAGTAGGTGCGGCCTTGCTGGAGGAAGTGCGTCTCTGTGGGAGTGAGCTTTGAGGCCTCCTATGCTCAAGCCCTGCCTGCCTACATCTACAGACTGAGATGTAGGACTCTCAGCTCCATGTCTGCCTGCACGCTGCCATGCTCCCTGACATGATGGCGATGGGCTAACCTCTGAAACTGTGTGCCAGCTCCAGTTAGATGTCTTCCTTTTCTAAGAGGAAAGGGTGACGGTATACATTCTGAATCTACCTTTTTTAACTCAAGGTTTAATATTTTATATTTTATATGATATTCTGCCCACATGGATGTATGTGTGTGCTCTGTGTGCCCGGTGCTGGTGGGGACCAGAAGAGGATATAAGGTCCCCTGGGACTGGATCTACAGATGGTAAAAGCTTCTAAGTGGGAGCTGTGGACCGGACCCAGGTCCTCTGCAAGAGCAACAGGAGCTCTTAGCCACTGAGCCATCTTTTCGGCCCCAGAGTCTATCATTTGTTACTGGTTGTTTCCTCAGACAGATTGTCTGGGAGTTGATTAATGAATCAGTTGTTCCATCAAGCTTCCCAAGTCCTGCATGAGAGTCTGGCCTTCCCAATCAAATCTCAGCTGGAACTCCAAACTTCCAACCGGTAAGAAATAACCAACAGTCTCCTGTTGAGGCTCTCTGCAAGGTTCTGGGATGCCTTCAATCTGTTCCTAAAACAGCAGCCCAAGCGGTGACACAGAAGTCAAACCGAATCACGCTTCTATTCAAACTCCGCAAGGGTGCCCTTCTAGCCCAGACTTAAAGACCTAGCCGTGGCTCACAAAGCTGGATAGAACATTTCTCTGCCTCTTAAGCCTCGCTCTGCTGCTTTCCCTTTTGTCCAGCCCAGGCACGCTTGATGTCCCTGCAAGGGGCTGGACACAGCCCTGCTTGGGGCCTCTGCATTGGTCTTCCCTCTGCCGGGCATTCTTCCGGTCAGTCAGATTGCCTCCTGAGCTTTTTTTTCAGGTCATTTCACCGACAGTTCCTCTCTTGTAAGACTTTCCCTTTCACCTCCTCAGCAGGAGCCCCCAGTGGCCCACTCTCTGTCTTCCCCCTTGACTTTTCTT